GAATAACTAACAGAGCTATGGATTTTGCTCCTCAGTGGACAAAAGGCCTAAACCCCAATCAGCTCTACTGTACAGCCAGTCCTGAAACTGGCACCAATCTGCTGAATGTGTCAGTTGACTGAATGTCCTTTGGCAAATCAGACCTCTCCTTATTTTTAAAGATCCAAATCCTCAATAAATCAAAGTTGTTAATTCTCAAAACCAACCATTGCAACAGGCATGCCCCACGTGTTGCACCTAACCCGATGTAGCACTGACATTGCCACACAACTACAGATGCACTCTGAACCTCAGCAAGGGCTGAGAGACACAGACTTGACAGAGAAATCCCTCTTTGCAGTTCAGTGCTCTCACTCTGTTGCAATGACATCCAGCTTGCAGCACAATTCGCTGAACTGGTATTAAAGAGGATAAGTCCCTTCATCATGCTGGGCTAAACTTTTCTCCAAAAATAGGAACTTTTAACTGACTTGATTTTTGTTTTAGCTCTAGGTTTGTCATGGTATGAGTGTGTAAGGAGGGGGCTGGTAAACTTCTGCACAAAGGTCTGCTTCTGAGGTCCTGCTGCCCTGCAAGTCCAGAGCAGGGAACCAAGCTGGGTGCCAAGGTGGCCACAAACAGGGTAAGGTAAGAGAAGAGACAGAGGCCAGAAAAACAGCCAAGAAAGTGGGTTAATATTTAAAAGAGCATTTTAGCTTTGAAAAAAGTAGGGATTTGTGGGGGAGTGGGAAGGGTAGGCAGTTGGAAGGGTCCCCCCCCTCCCTTTTTGAGCCGAAATTGCAAGCAGGCCCTTTTCCCTCCAGCATGACCAGTAAGACAGAGTGAAATTGGGTCCTGTGTGAAAATCACAGCCTTGCGTGCCTGTTGGAGTTTCCTGCTGTACGCTGAATCCAGAGCTCCTCCTGGAGGTCTGCAGAGTCCAAGCCCTGCTGCTGACGGAGCTCATGACTGCTGCTTGGCACAAACAGCAATGCACCAGGCACTTCAACAACCCTGTATACATATAGGGTACATACAAGAGGTAGGTATAGGGTAATATAGTAACCCTACCTATGCCTATACAATACGCAGTTCTCTCTGACTCCAGTTAGCTCAGCAGCTGCACCAAGGTCCCTTTGGTAAGCTGAATCCAATCACAAATGTAAAGATAATACATCTGAATAGATTTACGTATTAAATATATCTGAACACTTACATTTCTCCTAAAGTGCATGTTTTATTTTCTGAGGAAAAGGTGCTAAACTTGGGGTGGAGGGGGTCCACATAAATCCCATTTCAACCCACAAAACACTCCTTGCCCTGCAAGACAGTACATCTTTGAAAGCTGATGTCATACCAATGAAAGGCATCGAGACTCATTACCTACATGGGAAAAGACCACTAGCTCAGACCAATTAGCCTCCCAACTATTTCATTAAATTTAGCTCACTTACAAACCGCAGATCCTCACTTTAGACACATGTTGCCATTCAAGTCTAGGAGAATCAGACTCTGAGAAAGCCACCTGCGTGGGTACCTACACAGCCTGCTGCCTTGAAAACGGCCTGGGTAACGCCGGCTGGCGAGGGAGCACAGGGGGTGCAAGGGGGCTGAGGGAACGGGATGCCCAAACTGTCTGAGAGGGCGTTTGCCCAAAGCTCATCTTGGTAAAGAAGAAAACAATCAACTGTATTAGACAGCAACCAGGGAATTACCAGGAGACTTGGGGGGGGGGGGGGGGAGGATAAAAAAAAGCCAGCTAGGCAGACCTACAAGCAAAATGTGAAAACATGGGGATGTTTAGTGTGCAGGAGAAGAGGGGAGCAGGGCCACAGAGGAGCTGGCGTGACCCCTACCAGACACAGCCATCCTCATTATACAATGATGCTTAGAAATTTCTAGGCACGTATTAACATTTCATAACCATATTGCCTAGCTTTATCTGTTGCACTGCAAATATTGATCCCAAGTGTACAGTTCAGCAATGGCTAGTTAATTATCTGCTGATAACAAAACAATAAACCGCTTAAACTGTAATCAGTCACATGAACCAGGCAGGTTTTCCCTACAATATACATCTGACTGAACAGTGCTGCATCGGTGGGTCTTGCCATGGCCTCTGTAATGGGGACAGATGTGACAAAATATGACACCTATGTAACATTAGACCAGTGTTAATTGGCATGTCTTATGATGTTCAGGCTAGTTCCTGCTGTTCAGTAATTTTTTTGAGTAAAGCTTCCTCCTTATGGTTTGAAAAAATTACATCATTAAAATAGCCCATCCTCCCCTTCCACCCCCCTTAGTCTCTTCCTCCCCCTCTCCAACATCTGTATACACAGACAAGCTGCCCAAGCAACTGAACCCTTTCCAGACCAGATAATGAATTATGGTCTTAAATCACTGCTCCAACACTTTATATATATGTGTAAATATACGTGTGTGTGTGTGTGTGTGTACAGAAAATGTGAGATACTATACACACATGGGCTTACTTTAAGGAGATTCTAATGAGATGCATGAAAAATTGCATTACTTTATTTGTTTTGATTCATCCTTCCCTATAGTAATTTTCCTTTTTCATGTTTATAAGACCTGACCATTCTTCCTTTCAACTAAGGCCTGGAAAGTAAAACAGACATTTCTGAAACAATGAAGAAATCTTTGGGGGTGGGGGGGGGGGAGGGGAGGGGAGAGAAAAAGTAGGTACTTCGGAGACGTTAAAATAAGTCTCTTGCAACACAACTATTAAGTGTGAATGAATGCAGTCCAAACACAGAGCATATACTGCTTTTTCCTTTTTTTTTTTTTTTAACCAAATCAACTTTAAAGAATTCTTAAATTCTAACCTGATGTTGAAAGACTAATACATCAAAAAATGTTTCAAAATAACCTCACATCCTCTAAAGAGCACTGTATCCTAATGACAGTGTAAGAAGAGTACTTAAATTTATTTTCCTATCAGGAAAAACTAATACAATCATATAGCACAAATATAACACCAAAATATTTATTTACAGCATATATATATATATATCTCAATTCTTTTCACTTCTTAAGATATTTTCCCTCTTTTTAAGATATCCAGATTAAAAACGTCCAAGTCCATTTAGAGAAGAAAACATTCTCAAAATAAATAAGGAACAAGAAAGTCAGCTATGGTACACCATCTGCTTCCACAGTCCTCTTGTAAAATATGTTCCAGTTAATAGAGAGTACATTTACAATAACACATTGACACTATTCACTCCTGTCTGCTTACATACTAAACAAATACCATCTTGGCATGAGGAGAGACATATGTTCAAAGAAGGAAGAGCCATTTGTCCCAGTGTCATCTGAATTTACACAGGAAAGAGCCACCTCCTCAGCTGAATTAAATCCCTAAAACGGCTTTGCTTTTGCAGAAAGTCACCTGCTGTCTCCCAAATAAATATGGCAACAAGCACTTCACTTCTGGAGGTCCATACTGTATTTTGGTTTGTGTACAAGACTACAGTATCTCTGAGTACAGACTCACCAACCACACGTCCTAGCCTGTGAAGTGGTATGTGACTCTGTCCTCCAGAATCACCAGCCCCTACACACAAGCTTGTAGAGAAGCTCTCTCCAATTACCAGGTTTTTTTCTTCACCCTTCGCAAATTTTGTTCCTAAAGTGCCTGGTCAGAAATCAATAAGCTGAAAACACTTGAAGCTTCCCAGGATCAACGCTCGGCCAAAACACTGCTGGAGGTCAGCAGTCTGACCCTAACTTGCAAAGCAGAAGACCTTCCCTTAGGATTTCTCCTCCCCTGCAGGGTGTTCACATGAAAAGCTCTTGCACAAAAGCAGCAGGTCCACATTTTCCAAAGCAGACTGAAAATCACATCAGTTTTAAACTGGAAGCTGAGAGACCTATTTTGGTTAGATCGTAGAGCATTTTAAATATGCTAAGTGCTATGTAAGTGCCAAGTATTGGAAAACTACTGATTCGACCAAGAACAGATGCTAGAAGCCAGATTTTCCAGGCTAAGCAGGGGACTATGTTGGCATGGCCTCGCATTTAGAAATACCAGATGTGTCCACAAGTACAGAGCCAGCCTTGCACGGGGATACAATCAGTGTACACTAATACTTTCTGTACCCAATTCAGAGACTTGCATAGTCTGCATACCTTGAAAACAGGATTCTAGCCAGAAGGATTAGCAAATGGATTCTAAATAATTCAGAATATTTGTTATTTTATTAAATACGCCTGCTTCAACTGGCCTCTCATCCTGAATTTTAGCAAGCATTAAAACTGAGCAACGTTTTGTTAGTGTTTGTTTCCTACTGAGAGCTCAAAATGTATTTTTAAATTTAAGGCAGTTCTTCAATCTTTTGTCTGTTTGTTTTAAAACAAAAAATTAATAGTTCCAGGTTTTCTCTATTCTCAACAGAAAGGGACAATTTTCCTGGTACCTCCAAACTTTGGGACAGAATTAAACACACTTAATTCTTTCCAGTGGGAAATTTATGCAAAGTAAAGTGGCAAGGTTTGATTCTCCTTTCACATGGATGCAAAACAAAAGCAATTCCACTACAGAGAATGAAAAAATCCTGAATAAATGAATCTCTCCACAGGGTTTGTAAATTTTGGGTTTCATCCATGGAACTCAACTGGAAAGATTCTGAGCATGCCAGCACGCCATGTCCAGAAACACACATTAGCTTATGCTTAACCTAAATCCAATAAGCTGAAGCCTATTGTAACCTATCAAAGCTAAACACCCAACAAAACACATGCTAAAGCCCACAGGAGAAGGGGTCAGTCTGCTGTTGCTGTAGATCTACAGAAACCAAGTCTCCCACTGTTCCCCAAGTGGTTCAATCATCAGTAAATTTCAATTAATTTGAAAACAAGAAAAACCTAGATCCATGTGACTCCGCTTCCCACATCTCTAGGAACTCCACAGTGTTCTACTATTTCCTTGTGACTGACAGCAGCTTACTAGCATAGAGATTAAGTCTTATTTAATAAAATTTGTTAGTACAAAGCAGTCTATGTAATTTTTGTTTTGTATTTGAGCAGCGGTTTCTCTATATATGTAGTAGTTTAGCACTCAGAGTGGCATTTGCTCCTTAAGCTAAAAAGCCATCAGTCGGCTAATAACATAACTTTACAATCCAGAATCAGCCTTTAACCAGAGTTCAAAAGGTGTTTCTAGTACAGCATGCTGGTATTATTTCCATTCAGAAATTGTGTAAGAGAGAAGAACCACATGCTCAGGAATTAAAATTATTTTGAAATTGTATAATTAAAAACATGTGTTACACCTTGAAAACTCCTTTGAAGATGGGTATTATCACACAAAGTAGAGACTCACCCTAGAAAAACATGGTGGACAAGAAGAATACAGGAAGGTCAAATCTCTTCTGCATTTTTGACTTAGCAGAAATCAGTTTTGTTCGGCAGGGATCATTAAGAACCCGAACATTTCATTTTCCCCAGTCACTGTAAAGCTGTTTGTTAACTGAGTTGGAAATAGTTCAAAATACAATTCAAGTTGACCTATAGAAGTGCATGGGATATTCTGGCCGAAGTTAAAACAAAATAAAAAAATCTTTCCCACTTCAAAAAACCTACAGAAGAGTCTCCTCTTAATATCTAGGACACCATAAGTTGCTCCAGGCAGACTGTTTAAATCTTCATGCTCAAATGAATGGCTATTAGCTCTCGGGCTCCAAAGAACTTTCAAGTCAGGACATGTATAAAGCCGTTTTGCTAATATTCAAATAGTCTGAACCAAATAACCTTCCAGGATAGGGCCTTGATGACTTAATTTAACTTTTTCATGTCAACAATGAAGTCAGCTGTGTGCATAAGTGAGGCACACAGGTTTTACAAACCAGCCAAATATAGGAAAATATTACCTAATGAAAACTGATACTAATAACAAAACAAATCTCTGGCCAAGGCTGAAAAAACTTTGATGCTTGGAGATTCTGGCAACTATTGCATTTTTTTTGCTTCTTTGTTTTTAAACCAGTTCTGTAATATGGCAGTAACACTATTCTCGGCAAGATTGGCTATAAAAAACCCAGCCTCTATGAAATGCAAACACACTAAATCGGTACAGTTATAAAACAGCATTGCAGCTCTTTACATCTGCACTACAGTGCTCAGTGTTATAGAAAGACCATGCTCTTACGAAGCCCAGGCAGCCAGCTGCTTCATTTCATCTTCATCCTCTGCTCTCTTCCTGGTCGATGCTGCAGAGAAAGAGATTAACAATAGCCATCAACTAATGCAACAGTCAGCACCTTTTTATTAGTTAGCATGGGGACTTGCAAACCGCTTTTCACTTTGAATATCTCAGATCAATTTACTGAGCAGCAAGCTAAACAGAGGTAATGCAGTAATGAAGCTGATGAGAGATGCAGCTATTTTGCCCCACCATTATCGCACATATAACCATGAGGTTAGCAATATAGATCTGATGTAACTCGTGCTTAAAAACTCCCACAGAAAATATATTTAATTTCTAAAAGCTGTCACAGAGAGCAAGTGGCCACAAGAATGCTGCCACTTGGGCAGGCATCAGTAACCTACCCCTGGCCAGCTGTGCATCCTGCTACCTTTCTAAATAGGGTTGAAGGGTTCTGCATGTGCAGGTCCAGTCTCCATAGACTCACCTGAATCTAATGAGAGGTGTCATTTGTTAAAAGGGAGAAAGAAATTCCTGAACTTATCTTTGCTCAGGTGACATCAGTTAGCAGGTGGTCACAGCAATCCCCAGCTCTGTACCAGGCCCCACACACACTTTCTCTCTCTTTTAAACCCAAATCTCTGATCACACGTTTCACATTCCCTGAACTAAAACCTTACCCAAACAGTCTTCATTCACTGACCTACAAAACTGCATGCCATACAGCCCAGGTTCAACCTTGGGCTGCCTCTGCCTGTGCATGTCAGGATTTGCACTCCTCCAGACACCAGTGGAACCGTTACTGGACACAACACCCCTGTGTGTACGCTTGCAGCAGCCAGCTGGCTCCCGCCTGCGGCCGCCGTACAGCCAGAAGCCATCACCTTGAGAGGGGTTGCAGCTTCCACCAGGAGACTAAGGGTGGTAGGACGTGGGAGTCCAGTCCCCACTCTAGAGGCAAGTGCCACTGGGGAAGGTCACTATGCCTTGCTCCATCTCAGCTTCCCCATCTCTAAAATCGGGAGGGTAACACGCATCTCCAATTAGAAGCATTATAGAACCATTAACTGTTGCTCTTATTTTGCCATTGCTGCATAACTGTAAGCATCCAATTTTGTAAAGGATAAGCCAGTCTTGCAAGGCCTTAAACTGTACAAATGTACCCAGCTAATTTTGCCTGAAGCAGTCATACAGACAGATGAGGTAGCAAATTAAGATGGTGAGAAGCACATGGAGATGGCCTGGGTTTAATTAAAATGTCAGCTGGCACAGCTGGATCTGGAAGAGGATGTATGAATAAGCCATAAATGCCTAGACTGCAATTTGCATGGGGTTTTCCTAAATCCATTTTTTTACTAGCTGTTCTACAGATGACTTAAGTAGATGAGACAACAATTGCAGTTTGAACGTTTTAAACTGCTTCTCAGGGGTTTAAGTGCTGTCTGCCAAAACATACAAAAGTCTCTGAGCTAAGCTGGTTTAGGTAACATGTTCTGCAGCAGAATGCACCATAAACAACCTCTGCCACCAAATATTTATACTCTTTTACTAGCATTAGTACACAGCAAGTTGTTCAGCTGATAAAGGACAACAGAGACATGGTAAAAGGTGCACTTAAAAGTTGACTGGCTTAATTCAAAATGAACAGGGCAGAACTACAGAAAAATAAGACTACTGCTAAATTACAGGAATAAATCTGTTCTGTAGAAAGCAAGCAAAGGAATAACAATATTTCTTTAAAAGTGTACTTCCTGCTGCCTCCTTAATTTCTAATTAAAATACCAGTGGCAAATATCAAACCACTACCCTACAAAGCTGGATCTTTGTGACGCACACATTTTGAATCTAGGTCAGACTCTAATTAAAAAAGACTAAGGATTTAATTGCCAAAAAGACAAAAAAGCTCTTCCCATTCCTCAGTGATCTCGCTACATTTCAGCAGAAGTTGCATTATTATATGTTCAAGGTCAAGTTCCCCAAGTTTGCCTCCTCAAATCTATACAGAATTTGATCCTAAATGATTTCATACAGCAAACCAGAATTCCACTCTGGTTTTTCTGATAAAGAGATACAAAAATAGGAAAAGGAATCTATAATATGCTAAACATTAAACCACAGTTAAATATGTATTTGAAGTTCTCTCTTCCTCTCCTCCTACTTGTAGCATGCCTTAATCATGAGAATCGTAAAAAGTCAAGCAAGCAGTTTACCAGGGCGAGAAGGCAGTGATGTGGATGGAACACTTGGCAGTCTGACATCTCTCATTCCCTTGTTCAATTCTTCTTGCTCCAGTTCTTCTAATTCTGCCATCAACTCATCCTAAATTCAAGGAAAACGTTATTTATAAATTCATTGTCCTGACAGTGATCTCAGGAAAGGACACATTTAACAACCATGAAGCAAAGCACTACTGAAAAAAACAGTTTACACCTGAAAATAGGTATCAAAAAACAGCATATCACTAGTATAATTTTTATTAAGTGTTGACAATAACAGTAAGACTTAATTGAAGGATGAAAGAAAGACAATAGAAGTTAGACACGGGACAAATAATAAAATTAGAAAGAAAATTGATGACAGTGTAGTACTTGTCAAAAAGGCAAAGAGGGAGGAAAAAAAAAGCTCCCTCTGCCTTCTTCAGGTTTGTTCCAAATCTAGAGTCTGCATGCTTTAATGGATGCTAATTTTAGTGTGCAACTTCCCCCATTTTAAAAAGTAAACAGCTTCTACTGGTTATAAGGTAGACCGTCATTAAACATTATGCTTCTGTCCTCTCACACAAGTCCAGGATTTTACATGATTTCAAAGCAGCACTGGAATCAGAGCTGTCCTCCTGGGTCCTGTTATTCATTCAAAGCATGTAACCCTCTTGAGTTTTCAGCTGCAGAAGCTGATTTGGACAGATGATCTAATCCACTTGTATAATACTAAAAATAAAGAGGCTACATACTTTTTTAAAAAGCCAAAGACATTCCTTGGCTGGAGCTTCTCAAAGAAAACAAGTTAAATATTTGTAAAGAAATGGACCTTTGCCACATTGATAAAATGATTTAAAAAGAAACAATGGGCAAAAGTGGCTGGGGAAAAAGTTGCTGTAGTGAAGCAAGATCTACTAGGTATTGAAATGGGCTTTAACTACTCATTTATACTTTGCCTATCACCAATGTGGAAATTAAAATGATAATTACGTAGCCATCACAGGCCTTCCTAGACTTACTTTCTCATGGTTTTATATTTTTAAGGCCAAAAAAGGCTACAGTTTGTCTATCTGACCTAGTACAAATACTAGGTGACAGTACAAATACTAGGATACCATCTAAAAATTTCAGCATCAGGTCTACATCTGATGATGTTCAATTGACAGCTGATCTCTCAAAGCAGTGTGCAAGTTGTAGCTCTATGTCTAACTCAGGCATTTAGCCTAGGTGCAAATGTGTCTGCACTTTAAGTGTCTGAGCCAGTGGGGTGAATACAAGCTTCTTACAAAGTTAGTATCCAAGTTGTAAAGTCAATGGAAACAGGTATTTCTGAAGACCTCTAGATGGTCATCTAACACTCTCCCACACCAAATTAGTCCTTACCAATCTCTACTGAATAAGTAAACAATTAAGAGGTGTGTCAGCCATGACAGGCTCTTTTTTTTTTTTTAAAAAAAAAAAAAAGTAATAGCTAGAACACCTGCTCTCAAAGCGGAAGACCCAAGTTTTAATTTCTTCTAGTCCTCAAGCACAGATTCAGCTAATGTTTCCCTCAACTCAGGCACTGCTCTACAACTAGGCTGTGGAGTATTGCAACAGCAACAATAAATCTCCTTTCTCTTCTTGAACCGAGGCCAAAAAGATTGCAGAGGGAAGGTATCATGTGAATTGTCATGTTCCAGGCTTTGTTCACTGGAATGTGCGTATCTTGCATTTGATTATCAGAAATAGGCCTTCAGGCAAGGGTCACCCCTCCCAACGAGCACCCCATTCAGGTAGGACAGAGCTTTTTTGTATTCTTCGTGACAAATACTGTGTCAACCCGGGGAGAAAGAACACTTATGCTTTTGTGTCTATCTGGAGCAGCAGAAATTACATGCTTCCATGATCTCTTTACACCCATGGCACACATGTGAAGAGGAAATCCAAGTGTGCGGTCAAAATGTCCTTCAATTAAATGCAATTAAATACCATACCCTCCAACACAAATCACCTCATAACCCAGCAATTAAGTCATTGATTCTAGCACTCTTAAGCTAAAATGGCCTGCAAACCAGATTTCCCAATTACTGGACAAGTGCTGTAAGTATTAGGCTCCTACGCAAAAGCAGATGCTGGTACAATGATGCCCCATGTGACAGTGGCTTATTTTCCCAGAACAGAAAACACATCCATCAACTTAGACTAGTATCTCCTAGGAACTTCCAGGTCAATCTACAACATGCTTACTAAGACTAGATTCCTAAAAGCTAACCACTGATGAAAAGTAAGTGACACTGTATAGCTGCTCGGGATGGCAGTATGTTTTTCAGTTGTCTGAAGCCTAGTTTGCACAGGCCAAATCCCATTCCTTAATGCCAGGATTGATTAAGTGTTTCTTGAAAAGTCTATTTACATTCAAAGTGGAAAAATAGGAAAGCAGATAATGGGAACGAAATACAAATAACCATTACTATTTTCAACAAATTATAACTGTTGAATAAAACCTCCCCTTCACCCTGGTCACACAAATATGATACAGCATATGGATTTTTTTCTTGTCCATTTGGGCATGTAGGAGCAAGTTAGTTGGGGAGAGAGTGAACTGTTTGACTCTTTCGGACATTCTTCAAATGATCCCTAGCACTTGGTCATTTTAAAGCATAGTTAAAAACCAAAACTGAACCGGTTGTGATACTGAGCCTCATTCTCAGCTCTGCATTCCACAGATTGCAGGAATTTTGAGTATACCTGACCCTTGAGTCCTCAGCCATGGCTGGATCAGAAATAAGTAATGCCCTGCTTAGATATACAGAGTCAAGCCCGGGGACACTGGATGAAAGCCACTGCAACAAATTTTCAGAAGGCCCTAAGTGCCTTGTGGGTGTGTCAGAAGAAAAGATCTCAAGGAATAAACCTTATTTCCTCCAGGAGGAATTACTTCTAGATAATGGATTTACTTCTGTAGAAACTCTGGTAAACAGGGAAAATACCTGCACCTCCAAGCACCAAAAAGACCTTAAAAAAATGCTCCAAATATTCAGAACTGTAAACAGCAGCCTGTTCATGACATAGGAACATGCACTTAGGTCAAACAGATCTATTTGGAGCACAAAAATTATATGTTCCAGTGTCCACTTGGAGCAGTACAAATTACACGTTTTAGTGACCTTCTCCTTCCATAGTACAAATGAGAATAACAACCTCAGGAGTGCAGTTAAAAATGACCTGTTTAAAATTTATATATAAATATTTTACATATATAGATTTCCATTATACATTATTTATTTTATTTATTTCATATATGTGTGTTTGTGTGTGTATATATATATATATATATATATATATATATATATATATATATATATAAAATTATAAAAGTGTCCTAGATATGGTAAGCTAGAACAAAGAATTTCAACATCCACACCTTTTGAGAAACAAACCACTGGAACAAACCACCACACAACAAAGTAACTATGGAGTCATTTAACAGCTAAAGCTCACAGGTTTTACTGAAGTACTAACCTCATCAAACTCATCACCAAAGGCAGCTCGGTTTGAGATGGCATCTGAAATTTCCTGGGCAACATCTTGCTGTTCAGTGATATCTTGCATCAAATCATCGATTTTGTTCAGGTCCCTGGCAAGATAACACGGAAGCATTCTTAAAGATACTTCATTCAAATACTGTAGAAGAGACTCAGAGCAACTTGAACAGACCACATTTTCTTTTTATGCCCGTAGCTGTATAAACAGCAGAACTCACAGGGAACAATTTCCCTCACCTACACCTTAACGTTTTCTGGTAAGCTACTGCATGTTTTATCCAGTCCAATTTCTTCCACTTTGGGATTATAACAAAAGACAAACTGCAGCAGTCTGTGTGTGTCTCCCTCCCTGTACTGCTCAGACCTCTGCCTGCCAACAGCCACATTCCCTGGACAGATCCCATCTCCTTCCTCAGGTCAGCATCTTTATAGATGGAATTTTTTTGACATTAAGCTTTCACCAGAACTGGGGGAACTTAACAGGACTATACCCCATTTAAAAGCTTCCCATTATTGTTAACTTCGTTATTGTTTCAGTTCCTATTTACTTCTCTCAGAAGAACCTTTCTGATTTAACTGTTTATTCAGTCAGGAAAATGCCTCATGAAACAATATAGGGCATGTACAAATACTACAGATGCAGAGAAAAATTACCCTCTCTTTTATTCAGGTCTAATTAGTACTTTGAATCACACAGTCCAGCTTATGGACTTTGAGGAAGCGTCCACTTAGTTTCTTCAAGTTTTGTTCTGAAAAAAAAAAAAAAAAAAAGGCAGAGGCCAGTACCTACTACCAAGGCAAACTTAAAAAAAACAGGTACCACATGGATCTCTCTAGTCAGCTGAACTTCCTTCTAAACTTGCTGTTAAGAAAAGACATTTTTTCTGCCGAATACAGCATTACAATACCACAGCATTCTTGACATTAAATGCCTGAACCCAAAATGAAGTCAAAACTGCCTGACTTGACACAATAGACTATAGTGATGAATCAGTTTAAAAGTGGTTAGTAAGCTCAACTTGAAAGCTATTAGAAAGCACTTACATATTTTCATGTACTTTTTTCATAGCTTGTGCAGCATAGCCCATGTTCTTGAGCACTTCTGTGTTGGTGTGGGAGTTTTCCAGTGCCTCTCTCTGGAACTCAATGGTCGAAAGTGTCCCATCAATTTGACTCAGCTGTTTCTCATATCTCTTTTTTCTCTTCAGTGCTTGTAAGGCAGCTGGAAAGCAAAGAGGCAAAGTGCACTGTGTATTTATATAGCAAAATGCAAGGACAAGTAGTTCAGCACCAAGCCGACCTGCAGAATTTATAATTCTCACTCTCCTACCTTACTAGTAGGGAGACAAACTTTGACCACACCAGATCAGCAGCCTGTTTATCACCAACATGCTGTTGCATGAACATGCTGGGAAGCCTCTTTTAGATTAACTCCTTTTAGCACCACAGGGAAGAGCAGCTTCTTCTTCCACTGCGGGAGATCTTGAACTCCATCCTGTGCACAGAGGCAAAGCAGGGAAGATGGGGAGGAAAAAGAAAAACACCAGAGAGAAGTCAGAAAGGAGGAAACGGGGAAGGAAAGAAGAGGTTGCAATATATAAATAAAAACTAAGTAAGACGGAGTAAGAAGATCTGCCATAATAACCACATCTCCACCAATGCTGCTTTCTAAACTTTGTCTTACAGCAGGAACTGTCAAGTCCAATGGAAAGCTCAAATGGCCTAACCAAGCAGGTGGGTTAGATCAGAGGAGGACTCCCATTTCTCTGGCTTTCAGCTGCATCTATGGCTTACAATCACTTAGGAGCATGATCTTTAAACTTCAGTACTTGAAAACATATAGAACTTTGTAGACACGGCCACAGGCAAATCCAGCTACTCCCCTATTATCTTTGTAACTCTTTGAGATTGGCCTTTTATATTTACTAAGTTATGAGCAACATACTTTGCCCAGAGTAAATCATTACCGGAATAAATGCACGTGACACGCACAGGAGTAGAAAAGGGCTTTCTCCTGGCCTCTGGGTGTGAAACACACACAATCTTGCCTCAAGCATTTCCTGACCACTGTCCCTTCCAAACTACACATGCACCTGGCAAGAAAAGCACCGAAGAAAATCAAGAGACTGAATTAACCCATTGTTTTTTCAATGCTATTAACACCTGTGTCCTTTCTCTTGTCTCTCACATTTAGTTTTTAAATGAGGTCCAGAGCCATCAAGCAACAGCAGCACTGCAGCCCTCACAAACTCAACCGACAGCAGCAATTACTTTTGCTGTCCTCTTCAAATAATTGTCCACATGCAGCAACACTGAACCTTGACATTGAGGTACAGAACTTTTCAAATGATGTTAGAATCCCTCCAAGGAGGGCACATAGATTTATGGTCTATAACAACACACTAAAAAATGTAGTGCTTTGTTGACAAATGCTTGAATCAACATGGTCAAAATTGCTCATCATTAGCTGCCCAAGGGCAAGTAATCAAGCAGGTGAAGATACACAATGCCTTCTAGCACCTGCAGTAAAATGTTTTGGGACAGCAAACCACAATCACAACAGCTTAATCACAGTATTCAAATTCAAGATTTTCTGAGGTTTTGGGGCATGGTCTGAAGATCATGCATATTCCAAAAGAGACGCATGAACACCAGATGATGTCATGCAAATGACAAATGTGAGAATTGTCAAATTCTCATTGGCAATTCCAAAATACATCAGTTTGACTTAATCCCAAATAATCTTTTTACCTACTTCTTATTTCCCTACTTATTTAGGCCTATTATTGGTAGTGTTAGGACACCAGCCACTTCCTTCCTTAGCTTCAGTTGAACCAAAATTTGATCCTGGATTCCTAGGTTAGGAAGCTAGAGATTCCAGGTAAATATAATGGTCTGAAACTGTGCATAACACCAGCTGCATCAGGGAGGACTCTAAAGCCCTGTGGACTGAGAAGCATCAAGTAGCTGATGCAGAAAGGCTTAATTGGAGTCAGTAGCCACCACAGGGTAATACTTCCCAGTCGGTGTTTTTCAGAAATGGAACTCTGTAATGATGCTGTTATTATTGGCTGCTCAGAAGGAAAATGGATTTCCTCAGTCACACACAAAGCAGTTGTTTTCAAAATCCTGAAGGTTCCCATATTAACATTTAATTAAACCACACCTAAATTAAGAAACCACAGAAGAAGCTAAACTGTGTGACTTCACCTATTCATAAACAGCTTTTCCTAATTATAATAGTGCAACATATCTTTATTAACGCTCTTTCGTTTTACCAGTGACTTACAGAACAAAGGACTTCATAGGAAATCCATTCAAACTCCTTATCAACCAAGACATAATTCCCACATCACACATATTAAATTAACACCCTTCATTGCAGTGTTTTGTAACAGTAGCTTCTATAGCTAAGAGAACTTCCTTCTTATTTGAGATGTATTTTTCTGTGTTTTAGATAATAATGAACTTTAAGTGCTTTTCTACCGTACATACAAGCATTTTAAAATTTGTGTGCAACTCTTACAAGAGGATTGAAATGCCTCACAGAAATGCTACTGCATTATAATAACCAAACTGAAGAACAGCATATCTATTAAAAAAAAAATAAATAAATTGAGCAGAGAACATAAACTTACTTCACCGAAGGTCTAATTATATCACTGAAAAAGGGTGATTGGTGCCCATTCCAAAGATTTGAAAAAAGTAAGACAGCCCAGGGTGGCAGTGTCTAAGCAGTAGCAGATTCTGAGGAAGCAAATGTAATTAATACCAATTCAACCAGGAAGAGGTGGAGGTCTTCTCCAGGAAAAAAAGCAATCACATACACTGTCTCTGCTGTGCTCTAAAGAAACCAGTTCAACTCCTGCATTTCATAACGAGGACGTTAGCAGTCGAGTGGGTTTTAGGATGTTTCCTGTGCTCTACTACTGAATCCAGCAAGCAGGATACGGCTCACAGATTAAGGGCCACTGCTTTTAATCTCAGCTTTTATTTTATTTTCAAGGTAAGCAGCTGGAACAACAGTAGGCCATCATGTCAGTTTAATATGCATATTAGAGAACTACTGTTACTAACCTACAGAAAGTAGCAATATAGGAAAAGTGTCCATGTTGATACTTTATTAAGGAAGCAGAAATGGCCAGCTGGGCAACTGTAATCCTAGCCACACTGAATATCAAGGTTTCCAAAGGAAAGGACAAAAGTAGTGACATAAAAAGAATTGTGCCACCCTCCTCATGGTTTCATGACAGATCAGAATGAAACAAGACAGTACAACAATCACACCACCTTTACCTGTCAAGCCCACCACCAACACCCATCCGTACAGGAATTACCGATGATCTCAACTTCTGAAGTAGAAATAAATACATTAACTAGTAATCCTGAAAATTCCCAGGGAAAACTGGTTACGAAGGAAAAGAATGTTTCTTCAGAAGATACAACACCACTGTGAAAATACTGGATCTCATTCTTGAATACAGTTCACAAACCTCCACTTCAGTCCTGCAAGGGATGGACAGATTACAATTTGTGATCTCCCTTACACCTGGGACAACCAAAAGAAATGCTGCTGAGGCCAAAAAATCATACCACCCTAAGTAAACTCGTTACCAGCATTCATAATCCTCAAAACCTTGTGGGGGAAGCCACATACAGTTACAACCGAGGGGCTAATTCAAGAACAATAATGCACTTGACTGGTTATAACCACCGCGGTTCATGGCAAGACACTTGTAACGTGATCATAAAGATCAGAGGACAATAGATGTAACCCAGAGAAGAAAGACACACTAAAAGCTTCCTTCTATCTCCCCGCCAGAAACCCTCAGTCCCAACCTGTCAGGCACCCTGCCATAGGTACGACAGCCCTGTCCACATTAACACACAACTACTACACACTTGTAACCAGAACGCTGCTGAAACCAAACAACAAAGTCACTGAGAAGGAATGCTGCACAGCTACATCAGCCCTGCCCAGGTGCGCCACACAACATATTTAGCAGCATCTACTTGTAAAAGCTTACTTGTTATTCCAACTTTCTATCTACGTTTTTCCTTAGTAGTACTATGTGGCTCTTTATGGTTAAGATTTAACCCTATTCTGGATTTAAAAAAAAAAAAGAAAAAAAACAAAAAACAAAAAACAAAAGCAGATAAGGCTTCTTTTACCTGAAGTCTTTTAATTTAGCCATTTCTTTGGATCTGTGAAAGATTCCAGGATGAAACAACACTCATTCACATGTATGTTATTGTCACGGGTGCACTTTAGAAAACATCTAATTTTAAATAAAGTTCTCAAATACTCCGTATCATGTTCTGTCCTTTAAATTTTCCTGTATGACCTTCAAAATACTGAAGATGAAAGGCTACTTTCCAGATGGAGTTGGCAGCTGTGCACTCACTGAAACTGAGATACCAAAACAAACAAAAAAAAAACCACAACCCAGCAAGAGATTAAAAAAAAAAAAAAATCTTGAGTTTGTATCTGGAATGGGGAGAGATTAAAAGGCAGTGCTAACTGTGAAAAGAAATACTGCTTATCATGACATAACCTCTGCAGGAGGAATTCCAACACATATCACTGTTCTGAAAACCCTCACGTGGTCTAGCTACAGTAAAATACTAATGGGGAATGCTGGAAATGTATCACCCCAAGAGTGTAGCTAATTTCAGATCAGGTACAGGAACTGCAAAGACACTCACTCACTTCATAAAGGATAAGCCAAAAATATTTAAGCGATATTTCACATCTATTTGCATAGCTAACGTGTTCCGGCTCTGAAATCAAGTTAAGCCTACTGATGTCACATGAATCGATTCAAGAATCATCTGAACTCATGGAAAATTGCTGGTGCTTGAATGTGCTCACTCTTGTGTCAGTATAACTGATTCAGACTCATGTGCCTAAAAATCAAATGAGATCATGCTAATTTGTTGAATTTTCTATACCGAGATAGATCTTGCTCCAGTCTCAGACCCTCCTGTTTTGGTTTCCACAGGCTTCTCCACAGGTACAATTAAGAAAAAACAACATTAAAATGTACCTATGAGGTCCCTCTGAAACATTCACTTTAACAAGGCGATGTAGAAGTTTTATTCTCTCATTTGTGTGTAAGTTCACATAATGCTACAATAGATGCTGGTTAATACAGATCTCCTCTGCACTATATAGTACAGTATACCAGCTAAAATGCTGTTATATGTAAATCAACAGCAATTAAACTGTAAAGGAATTGACATATCAAATGAAGGGGTATTCTTGGGGATTTGATTTCACTCACTAGCCTACTAAATTCAAGCACTCTGGCACAGCAAGGTTAGTTTCTCTTGTTTCTTCTCTGGCTGTAGTTACACTATCCTGGTTTGGATTCAGAGCCATTTTTGGCATGAAAAAATTCCCATTCTGTACTTTTTAGCCTACTCCTGTCTCTTTACTGTTCTTAATTGTAGGTTCCTGAGCAAACGTCAAGATAAAAAGGAGTTTTTATCAGCTCAACAATCCAGTTTCCAGCATGACTCCACAAACAACGGCACAGATAAAACTAGGGGAATTGCATACTGAGCATAGCAGTGGGAACAAACATCTGGCAGAAAAACTTCATACTTCAAACGCTGCACACCTGAAGCACAAGGCCACAGTTTGACCAACACCTGGAGCCAGCATCAACCAGCTGAGGTAAAGAAGCAGGCTCACCTTCTCCCAACAGCAAGTACTCATTCCTGCCTGTGCACCATCCCCTCCTTCACAGGTGTCAGAGCACTTGTGCAGCTGCAGACTCAACTGGGTAAGTGGAGCTTAACCTACTCTGGGTAAAGAAAAATAAGCAAAAAAAAAAAAAAAAAAAAAAAAAAAAAAAAGCCAAACAAAAAAACAACCCACAACTTACAGCTGCATCCAGCTTTCTGAAACACACCCTTCAGGAAGCTCTGCCAAGGAAAGGGAGGGAGCAGCCCGGGAGCACGAGCAAGGCAGGAAGCACCGATTCTTCCTGCAACCATGCCAGCTTAAAGTCCAGGTTTGGGATGAAGTTCCACAGCACCGTGTCTGGATCTAAACAGGAATAGCTACAGTCCCAGGAGCAGGCCTGTTTTCTTTCATCAGTCCTGCCCCTCGGCAGTCCCGGGAGCTATCTGATCACTTTGTCCCACATCAAATTAGTTTTCAGCTGGATCACCTTCCTGAACTAGCTCACTGGGCCAGCACACAGGTGCCAGTACCTGCACAAGGGGACAAGAGAGACACTGCAGTTGAAGCCAGGGGAGTAGAAAGTGTGGGAGCACTTTAACACACATCCTCACAAGTTCTAAGTTACATTTTTTAAATTACCAAGCAACAGAAAGCGCAGATGAAATAACTACTTTCTCGTTATGTCATATACCTTTAATTTGAAGCATTTCTATTCTGTTTTGAAGTATTTAAAGAAAAATAAAGCTCAGAGTAGACAAGCAGAAGTCTGAGTGACTTTAGGAAGTAATTGTTTCTCAAAGGCCTGTATATCCCCAAGACACTGGCTACCCTCCTTTGCTTCCCAGAGATGACAACATCAGAATAAGCAGGATCCACCTCAGTATCCTCTCCTCCGCAGCAGCACAGACCAGTAGGCGCTAACGCTCTGAACTGTCATTATTTTTTCCGTGATTTTCATCTACTTCCTTTGCGATCTGAGGCCAACCGCTTTGCTCCTCTGTTGCCGGCAGGATATTCCCCAACCCCGCAGAGCCGGGTCCCGGCAGGGCGCACCCGGGTTTCCCCGGCGGCGGGCGAAGGGCAGCGGGGTGCCCGGGCCGCCCAGGACTCACCTCGCTTGTTCCTGGTGCCGTGCTGCCGCGCTACCGCCAGCTCCCGCTCGATCCTCGTCTCCAGGTACTCCTGCTTCTTGCTGAGCATCTCCTCCGTCTCCCGCAGCCGGGCCAGCGCCTCCTGAGGCGAGGGCCCCCCGCGGCCCTTGGAGGCGGCCGAGCCGCCCCCTTTGAAGAACTTGGAAATCTTGCTCATGGCGGCGGTCCCGGCTCGGCACCCACCGACGGAAGGGTCGGCCCGGCCCGGCCCGGCCTGGCGCTCGCCGTGACGGCGCTTCCTGGGCCCGCGGGCGGCGGCACCGCACCTGCCGGCGGGGCGGGGCGGGGCGGGGCGGGGCGGGGCGGGCCCGGCCCAGGGGCGGCTCCGGGGAGGCCGAACCGCCGCTGCCCGCCGCCGGCACCCGAGGGCGTGAGCGAGATCCGCGGGGCAAAGCCCCGGGAGGGGCGGAGGGGGCTGGGCAGACGTGCCCGCCCCGTCCTGCCCGGGGCGGCTGCACAAACGGGTTTCCCCCCCCCCCCCCCGCTTTGCCTCCGCGTCCTGCCGCACGGTGCGGGGCTCGGCGGAGTCGGGGTGACGCGGGCCCGGCCGTTAGCCGCGGAGTTTAACGCCCGGGCAGAGGAACGCAGGCGGGTTAGGACGGAGAAAATAAACGCTGGATTATTAATAAATGTTGCTTTAAAAAGTGCAGGTGCGCCGCTGAGGAAACCACAGCGGCACAAATCACAGGAGCGCAAGGGAGTATCTCGGAAAGCTGCGTCCCTCTTCCCCCTGCCTCTTGAAACAGGCCCTGTTCGGAGGGCTGACGGAACTGGCGATAAAAACAGGGCACAAAAAAGACTTTTCCCCCCACCCCCGATAGCAGCACCCTAATGCACGAAGAGTACCGAGCCCGCTGCGGGGGCGGAGCTCCGCCTCAGGCCCCGCCCACACCCCCGTCCCTGGCGCCCCTCGGGCCCCGCCCACAGCGCCGCCGGCCACGCCCCGGGGTGGGGATCACCGCCCCCGCCTCTGCGTGGCGGCCCCGCCCCTCCCGGCGCACGCGGCGGGCGGTACCCTCCCGTGGCCCGGCGGCCCTCGCGCGCTCCGCTCCCGCGGCGTCCCCGCGCGCGGCCGCCCGGGAAATGGCGGAGCTGGAGGTGGGGCGGCACTGCGGGGTGGCGGGTTGCCGCCAGCTGGGTAAGGCGGGTCGCGGCGGGGCCTGGCGGCGATGGGCGCTGCGAGGCGGCGCCTCCCCGCCGGGGCGCGCTCCGTGCTGGTTAATCCCCTGCTTTTCCGTTCTTCGCGCTTGCTTGCCTTCACTGATCTCGGGAAATGATGTTAAGAAAAATGTAACCTTTCAGAAAGAGGCAGCAGAAAGGCATGTACTGAAAGATTTTTGATGGGACCGCGCGTTCTTATAGATGAAGTGGCTTAGATCTTCAGGAGCTGAGCTTTGTAGTCCAGTTGCAGGGTGGGCCATTAAGATGAAATCCGAAGGATGGAGAAATGGATTAATGGCCTGGGGGTGGGCATCTGCTGCCGCTGGTGATGTGGCTGAGTTCAGCAGACAGTGAAGTGATTCTGTCTGTAAGAACCGATTGCAGTAGGTGGGGGATGTGTGCAGGCACTTAAGAAGTACATGCAATTTGAATTATGCAAGGATGGTATGTGTGATACGAAGGATAGAGAGGAAGGAGCAGGGTTATCAGGACTGACAAACAGAGGAGATGCTGGGTCTTTAGATGATTTTGGTAGATGGAGCTGGTAAATGTCCTTGTAAATATATCTACCCCAGTGATACAGGAAATCAAAAGTTAATAATGTAAAAATTGAACTAGAAAATATTAGCAAAACAAGGACCATGTTTAACTGAAAACAAATCTCTGTTTCAGATTTTCTCCCCTTTGTATGTGATGGCTGTTCAGGTGTTTTTTGGTAAGTTCATAGAACTGTAGACTATCTCAAGTTTGGAGGGGCCCATAAGGATCACCGAGTCCAACTCACTGCTCCTCGCAGGACTACCTAAAACAACCATATGACTAAGAGCATCATCCAGACACTCCTTGAATTCTGACAGGCTTGGTGCCATGACCCCGGGGAGCCTGTTCCCGTGACTAACCACTCATTTTCCTAATGCCCAACCTGACCTTCCCCTGACGCGGCTTCATTCCATTTCCTTGTGTCCTACTGCTGGTCAACAGAGAGGAGATCAGCACCTCCCCTTCCACTTCCCCCCACGAGGAAGATGTACAGTGCAGTAAGGTCACCCCTCAGCCTCCTCTTTTCCAAGCTGAACAAACCAAGGGACCTCAGCCCTTCCTTGTAAGTCTTGCCCTCAAGGCCTTTCACCATCTTGGTCAGCCTCCTTGGGACACACTGTAATATTCTGATGCCCTTCTTACATTGAGGCACCCAAAACTGCACACAGTACTCGCGGTGGGGCTGCACCAGTGCAGCACAGAGTGGGACAGTCACCTCCCTCGACCGGCTAGCTGTGCAGGGCCTGATGCACCCCAGGACACCGTTGGCCCTTTTGTCTGCCAGGGCACGCTCTTGACTCGTATTCGATTTGCCATCCACCCACACCCCCTAGATCTCTTTCTGCAAGGCTGCTCTCCGATCTCTTGTTCCCCAGTTTTTTTGTATAACCAGGATTATTCCATCCCAGGTGGAGAATCCTGCACTTGCTCTTGTTGAAGTTCATACGATTGGTGACTGCCCAGCTCTCCAGTCTATCCAGATCTCTCTGTAAGGCCTCTTGTCCCTCAAGGGAGTCCACAGCTCCTCCTAGTTCAGTGTTGTTGGCAAACTTACTCAGTGTACATTCAATTCCTGTGTCTAGATCATTTATAAAAACATTAAAGAGCACTAGTCCTAAGATTGAGCTATGGGGACCCCCACTGGTGACTGGCCACCAGCCTGATGTAACCCCATTTACTGTAACTCTTCCAGCCCGACCCATCAGCCCATTGCTCACCCATCATATTGTAGACTTGTCTAGCTGTGTGCTGGACTTGTTGTCCAGAAGGATACCGTGAGAGACAGTATAAAAAGCCATGCTAAAATCCCAAAATGACACACCTACTGGCTTCTCTACGTGAACTAGATGGGTGACCCTGTCATTAAAGGAAATTAAGTGGGTTTTCCTGTAAGATCTCAGTGTGGCAGTTGTGTAGACCTATATGTTGTATAAAACATTCTGTGACTCAATTCAGATACATTTACTTAAAAAATAATTGTTTCATTGAACTTGCCACATTTTTCCCAAGCAGCTGTTGTGGAGGTTTGAAACCAGTGGGAATATCTCTAGAATACAGGTAGATTATTTTGGAAGGGATCTCATTTAGACCCTGTTTTGTACTGGGGTTTTTCTGGGGGGTGGAAGGGGAGTATTTTTTCATGTAGAAAAAAAAATTGAAGTTTCTTCCAAGGTTCAAATCAGGGCATGCACTTTGATTTACACTTCACATTATCTGAGGGCAGCTGAGATAAACTCAGATAACCTGAGGGCAGATTTCACTTTAACGTGTTAGAAGCCTTCAAGGGATTTCTGCTCTTGTGGAAGGTGATTAAAAATCCATTAAAACAGACAAATTCCAGTTGCTTCGAGCTGAATTCTTAAGCATGACAATGCTTTTATTCTCTTGGAATAGTTTGTTATCTTGGGGCATAAATTCCAAGAGCTAAATGTTTTACATAGTCAGGACGACTATGATCAATCCAGTCAAGATGCGAAATGCATAGATTAGGACAAATTTTGGAGAAGATAAATTATTTAGTTGAAGTGTTCCCATGATAAAACTTGTCAGATCATTCTTTAAACACTTAAATGTTTTCACATGCAGCTTTCTTTTCCTGAAATGTTGATAACGATGTGATATTTTCTTATTTTGTCACAAAGCCTTCAGCACAGGAGCCGGGATGCTCATGGATGTTCTGAGGTAATCTAATAATATATGACTAATTTAAAATTCTGTGCAATTTAACTGTTTATTTTCAGATTAGATATATACACATAGTATATAAGTATGAATTATTTAACTGAAAATGTGACAAACTTAAAGAAATGAATCTACTCTTTTTCTGCCTGTCAGAAGTAAATTGAGTTTAAGTGGGATGATGGTTCCTTTTCTAACTCTGAGGAGAGAATCACTGGACTAGTTTTGCTCATAAAATGGAGAGCTAGCACATTTCTTTTGGAAAGCTGGGGTGGTCACTTGTATCTGTAATACCTGTTGATTTACACAAAATATTTTGTACAAATGCCTAGGTGAATACAAGAAACAATTCTGTGAAACCAGATCAGCACAGATCTTACCCCTGCTCATACAAGGACTGCAACAGAAAGGAACTTTTGCCAGTTTTATGTCCTTACTGTAAAAAACATTTTTGCCTAAGGTGAGTGGAACAGTGTTTAAACATCAAGAGTCGTTTATTAGCATATGGAAAAGGTAATAAAAGTTTTACACTGTCACTTACAGACACCGGCATCAATCAGACCATGAATGTGAGAAACTGGACACACCAACACCTCGAATGGCTGCCACCCAGCAGCTAGTTAAACATATTATAGGCAAGTACAGTGGGTTATATATTCTACAGTTTTCTTCAGAAGGTTATTTGAGCTTGTGACCTCCTCTGAGAGTTCAGGTTTGACCAAACAAGAAGAAAGGATGAGGGTTCCTTGTTTAAATAGCCCTGAACTCACATGTCAGCAGGTAATACTGTTCATCTAGACAGACAAAACAAGAGTAGCATATGTTTATAAAGAGAATCTTTAAAGATTAAGCTTAGGTTTCTTTCAGAATTACTGTCTTGTTCTCATTCTATGAGTACTATAAGGTAATTAACTGTACCTAGCCATTATTATTTGCATATTAATTCATGTGCAGATAATACAATTGTATTGTGTTGGGTGCGCACGCCAATCTGCTGGGATTATACATACACATCCAAGACAGCAAAAAAATGTGAGTCTACAATGTAATGTTTGCAGCTTTTAAACAAGCTCTAGGACAGGAAGGAGAATAAACAACACTGCCTGACTGGACCCTGGGGTTATGTGTAGAACAGAGGACCTGAAACTGTTGCCATATGAATACTGTGATGGCCACAGGTGTAGAAACTTGGGAATTTGTATCTATTTGGCTTTTTCAACCTGTGTTTACCTCATGGTAGTGTTCATCTACTTTTCAGTGTAAAGGAGTTTGGCTGGAACTGTAACAATTCCAGATATTCTTGAACAGGAGTACCTGATAGGACCTCAGGTGGACATGAAAAGGACATGAAAGGGATGGGAACTTAGGACATACAATGAGGCCCGATAGGCTAATTCCAGGATGTGTTTAAGAGACAGTCTGAATCACCACACTAACAGGAATAATATTGTTCTCAGATTCTAAAAAAAATGAGGAAGCAAAAAGCAAAAAACGTAAAGGAGCAAAAAACAGTGAGACAGCAGCAAAAGTGGCATTAATGAAACTGAAAATGCATGCGTGTGGGGACAAGTCCTTGCCTCAGGTCAGTCATGTTTGCTTTCATTAACTGAATTCTCAAAGGAAATGGGAAGTTTTCTAAATTTCTTGTTCTTCATCTAGGTTACCTCAGTTTGGTTTTGGATCTAATTCTTCAAGTCCACGTGCATTTATACACCTATTTCAGCCTGGTACCCAAAAACAATCTCACTAGTCTTATGTCTTTTATAAGATGTCTGTGTAGAGTTAGGAGCAGTCAGGTCAAATTCCTTTATTTTATAGCAAAAATTTTTTGCCTGCCGTATGGCTGTCACCCAACACTGTGGGGATAGGCAGGTTCTTTTGGAGATCCTTAGTGGAATGATGACGGCATTAAGTTGTAGATAAATTAAAACAGTATTGTTTTAACAGACTTTTATGATCAGCACAACAGAAATGTAAGATCAGAGTATCACAGAATTTTTATAATCGGAATCGGTATAGCACAATTTTATAAGTAGCATAGCACAGAATTTCAGAGCACAGCTTAGCTTATGGGTCCTAATCACCTGGACCCTCTGCAGATCAGGTCAAATCTTTATACTTGTCTTGCAGTATCAATATCATATTCATCACCTAGATTCGAAACTCATAAAAGAATATGCGTCACTCAGTCCTCGGAGGAAGCAGATGACTGTAAAGGCATCCCTGGCCACTGGGGGATCGAAGGTTTTGCAGTCCAGCAGCAGTTCTGGTCCGTGTCCCACCTAGTGCTTGCAACAGCTTGTTTTTATGGCCAGGGTTTTGTGTGCTGCTGCGCTTCCCTCTTCTGTGACAGGGTCATCACCACTGGGTTGGCCAGGTACCTGGAACCTTCAAGGCCGGTCGGGAGGGGAGTAGCCAGCCTGGCGTCCAGGGACATTGAAGCTGATAGGGACAGAGAAAAGAAGTCTGCGTGGTGCTCAAGACCTTCAAGGCCATCAGGAAGAGGGGAGAGGGGACTGATCTGTGCCCAGTTTGGTCACAGAGAATGTCTGTTTGCCATATAAAATGGTGTTGGTTATACTAACCATACTACCAGGGGTCAGGAGCCCGCGGTACCGGTCACTCATGGGCAACCCATCACAGAGGGATGCTTCCCCTGCTCGGTACTGAGAAGCTTCTGACGCAGACAGGACACAGTTTGCACAACTCTGTACCAGTCCGATTGAACCTGTCTCATACGAAACTGAGCTTTGTGTTCTGCGAAGCTCCATTCGTATTTCTGCTACTCAGATTTAATAGACATTTATTACATTTCTGCCTGAGGTATGAAGGGCCTCGGGTCAGTTGTTCCTGCCTTTGGGTTGGAAAAAGGTTTTGTCAGTTGCTTTATGTTTCTTTCAGCCTTTAATTTCTTTGATTGTTGAAGTATTTCAGAGATTCCATATTGTTTTTCACTACCGTGGCCAGTCAAACACGGTGTTCAGGTCTTTTTTCACACATCAGGACTATGTTGGGTATGGAAACAACTTGATTCTTTCATCTTGGGTGTCACTTTAGATCTGTACTTACGCACCCTCTTAAAAGAACTGCATTTAAACAACTTTTCACCACATCGTTATGTTGGGGCACACCAAGTTTAGGCCTGTTACATTTATTTTATAATACTGAAGACATTCTACGTGATAGTGCTATTGTTAGGTCTTATCTTACTAAAGTACATTTATTTATTATTTTTAAAACAACTACAGCTATTACATTACTCAGTCTTCTTACGGATTTCTTTTTTTATACTTTTTCATGCTTAGAAATTAGATAACTCTGCATAGGCACAAGTCATAATACAAAGAACTGCTTATAGCATTCTTCACAGATAGTACCACTTTAATAAGTATGTACTGGAGGGAAAGTGATTAATTTCAAATATTGTGGAACATAATTTAAAAAATCCACCCTCAATATATATAATAAAATTTTTAAAGTTGCTTCCTAATTCAGAAGCCAGTAAGCTCTAAAAGGTATAGCACAAATTGCTGTATGCTAATTTCTCTTACTATTAATTTTCTCATTTTGATATCATTGTTTAGTCATCTAGAATAGCAGTAATTCTAACAAGATAAATTAAACCTGTTAACCTTCATAATGCCTCCTTGGCACTTTTGTTCTCTCATCACTATATAGAAATGGACACATTTTTCTTGGGGGTGCACAGCAAAAGGACAGGGGCAGTGGGCACAAGCTGCAACATATGAAATTCTGATTAGATAATAGGAAGAAAAATCACAATGAGGGTGGTGGTCAGACTTTGGAACAAGCTGCTCTGAAAATTTGTGGAATCTTTGGGATGTTCAAAACTTGATTGAATCTGACTTGGAGCAACCTGATCTACCCTTATAGTTAGGTCCAGCTTTAAAGTTCCCCTTTGATCATTGGTGTGGACCACATGACACCAGAGGTTCTTCCCGACCTTTCTTATTCTATAATCAGGAAAATCAGGCTATCTTAGAAATATCTTTGCTCTGACCTCTTTGTTGAGATTAGCTTTCTGCAGATGATTGCTTCTTTTGGTGTCAGACCTGATACGAGTTACCCCTCTGGAGACTGAACAGCTCAAAACAGGAGGGCCGTGCTGTAAATTAGTGTTAGTTATTGTGTCCCTGACTGACAGGTATTTTCTTGGGTATGGCACAGAAATTCCAGGAGGCATATTCCATAGTTAGGGATGCAACAGCAGAATGAGCTGTTTTGTGAATTCAGTTCCAATGAACTGTGGGAGACTGTCTCGTCATCCTTAGAACTGGAGGAGCAACTGTAGGAAGGTGCCAGGGCACAGATAAGCAGTTGAGTGATGTTAGTGTTTGTCCATAATAGGATGGCTGTTGTGTTTGCTGTTTTGCAAGTTGTGGTCATTTTACATTTTAGCAAGATTCAGGTCCTGCTTTCCATGTCCCTTTGTAATATTCCTGGATGTTCAAGATTTTTTGGTGTGTGTGGAGAGCACTGAAATTTTGAGGAAAATGCACAGGTTGAAATTCAGACTCAGTTTTATAAACATAGCTGGGGAAAAAGTAGTTCCATATTTTTATAGAGAAGACATATTAAAAAGAAGGCTTCTGTCTTGTTTGATAGTCTGGCTTGGACTCAGGAAGGGTGGTCTGAACTGATGAATATACCAGTCAAGCTTGCTCTGTGTCTTCTGTTGAATGTCAAAAAGAAATAAATGTAAAGAAGGGATTGTCTCAATCCTGTTCAAGATCTCCCACACACACACACCCCATAGGTTACTTTTGGAATTTCTTAAACAAATGTTTCAGTCTAGTAGATATTGAAAGAGCATTTAGTACCTAAAAGGAGGAAGAACAGGATAAAGGATTATCTGGCCGTGACTGGAATGTTGGTTTGTGAAGCAGCCGTTTCTAGTGTGGTGAATCGTTCTATTTTAACTGTCTTTACATTACAATTTGAGACATTAAACTGCTGCCAAAAGCCAGCACTGCTTATTTAAACTCACCTTTTTCTCCCCAGAACAGTCATTATTGTCTAGTAAACCTAGGGCAGACACCTTTTTATGCCTGTCTGTATGTAACAGTCTAGCTGTCGACTCTGGCGAACATACTGTCCATCACAGAAGTGCCTGCAGCACATAGATATGACTTGATGATCTCAGTCATTTATAATCTGCAGTAAAATGGGGCCTTCGTCCTGATGGAATAGAACTAGTTTCAGTTGATAATTTTTGCATTGAACTTTAAGTTTTTACTGAAAATCTATTAGATGTGTATGACTGGCATTATGTGTTTTATCTGTGAATAATTTTTCGTTTATTTTTTATGTTTTTCTAGACAGAAAGAATTTACTTTCAAGTATTTTTACCAAGGGGGAACAAAGAGAAAAGCAAGCCCATGTTCTTTTCCAGTAAGTGGAGTATTGGCAAAGTAGTAGATTTTGCAGCTTCCTTAGCAAGCCTTAAAAATGATAACAACAAATCAACATCCCAGGTAAATCAGTAATAAGAAACATTTTCCAGGTTGTTAGGTCTTGATTTGAATTTTTTTTTTTTTTTTTTTTTACTCTTTTGTCCCTCTCCCATCCCACTTCTTACATCTCAGATAGGCAAATCTTGATGTTAATTTCTGTGCTATTTGTCTTACAGAAATTGAGATTATGCCATACTGCCTCTGGAGAAGCCTTGCCATTTGAGCACACCTTGGAGACATGGCTATCTGATAAAGACTATCCATTGTACAATGGTGGAAATATAATTTTGGAGTATCTTGATAATGATGTTCTATTTATAGAAGATACAGAGTCATACTTTAGTTAATCAGTAAATTATCACAAATAAAAAATATATAATAAAGATAATAAAGAGAACTTTAAATTATCATTTTCTAATTCTTGTGTAAAAGAAGAAGAAATATGGTAAGAGAGAAAGAACAACAGTTCAACTAGAAGCATTAGCATTCAACAGCTTGCAATTTCATCCTGGCCTTTCTGACCTGAAGTAAATCTGTTTTTTCCTCTTCAGCAGTCTGCAAGATGGACTTACCAAGTTTTAAAGCAGTTGTTTACAGTGATTGTGTGTAATGAAGTTATATGTCTGGGTGCATAAGTATGACCTATAGAATTAATAGCTTTCTCAATTATGTCTTGAAATTGTTTGGTGCTCATTAAGAAGATTGTTCAGAGTATCAGTAGTTGATGTATTCCAGTTTTTGGATACAAGTTGGTAGATTTCAAAGCTGGATTGTAAATTCAGAGTGAACATAGCAAGGAAGAACTGCAAGATTATCACAGTTATAGCTGTTTTGCATTACCAAAACATAAAAACATGTAACATTGCACACAAATATTAGGGCCAACGCTTTCCTAACCATACGCTCTTATGTGTAACCAAGGAGCCTTGCTTCATCTGCCTTCAATGGGCCTGTTGCAACCTAAACTCATTCTGCAGTGGCCTGTCTCTAAGCTAGAGGAGTAGAACCCTTTCAAGATTAATCCCTACAATTTGCTTTCATCTGTTTACAATTATTCAGCCAGTGTTCTCCAACTGGGAGGAGCTCTAAAGGCAATCCCACAGTGACAGAACAGTGTACAAACAGGTGTAAACAGCAGTGGAAAGCACAAGCCTGAGCTCCATCTGCAAGGCTGTGGTGTGTTCCTACCGCTCCGTGGTGCTGTGCAGTGTGAAAGAAGTACTGAGGCAAACTGGTCATCAGACACTGAAAAGGCTAGCAAGATTTTCAGCTGCAATCAGTGCAGCATGTAAGGAGGATCCATTGCTACTGGAAGGACCTAGTGGCTTGTAAGCAGGGTGCAGTATTCAGGCAGAGGTGGAGAAATCTGTTTCCCGCAGCCTGAGTCACTGCTAGATCAGTGTGATTCACCTTTCAACGAGTTTGAAAAGAGAAGAGCTGCCTTTCTTTTTCAGGCAACTATCTTCATGTGCTGTTCCCAAGTTCGCAAGGACGTTGCAGCTTATACGTGCGCCGTGACTGAACATACTAAGCAATTCCCAGAGGTGTAACTGGGCCACAGGGAGACTGAATGTCTACATTGTTCAAAAATGTCAATATGATGCATTGCAGGGACATTGTCCTGCCATTGCAGGACACAGAAGTGGGGAGAGACTCTATGGGGAGGGCAGGGGACATAAGGCTAAGGAGTATTGCTAGTCCTGTGAGAAATGGAGTTTTGTTCGGAGAACTGACATGAAGCAGAGAGGTGCACTCTGACCTGCAAGTGGAGGTGGACAGTGCACCACGGTCACCTGGGCATTCACAAATCTGAATCAAGGCTCATTCAGTTACTCTGTTCACTAACTGAGAAAAACCATCCAGGTCTTCCTCTAGTACATGCTTGCCTAAAGGGAACCATTGTCCACTGGCTATAACACTACATTCTGGTTCATTTGTACTGGTTTGAAAACAAACAGCCATGTATGATATGCCCACTGGAGACACAGCTGCAATAAAACTAAAAAATCACAATGTAAGAGGAGTCTGCCTATCATCTTTTTCAAAGGTATTCCATTGGCAGAACAGCAATGTTGTCTTGTTCAAGCGGCTGTAAAGTATCATGGGTTTTGGTACTACCAAGCAGTATACCTTTACAGCAATTTAGGAATACCTGTAGGATTCTTATATATTGATTGGACTTGCATAAAACCCCAAAACATCTCAGCATGTGCCTGTTAATGGTTCTTATTTTGCCTTACATTACCCTTTACTGTAGTTTTAACATAACTTAGTTATTGATAGATTATTTTACTGGATGTGGTGTGGACGTCACAGAAAGCAGGGTGCTTCTGGTTTCCATGAAGGAAAGGGTCCTCAGTGGCTGAATGTTTTGGAAATCTTTATTTCCTGGCACTCAGAAGTATACATGTATGTCTCCACTTTCCCCTGTCTATCTATCCAGCTGTTTGTCATCTCCCTTTCCAGCACAAGAGGAATAGTTCCCTCTTCCCTTGTTATTTCTTTTCCTCCCTTTCCTCTGCAATTCGCTATTCACCTTTCTTTGCATTTTAGGCTGCTGTGGTAAGAAATACGCAGTAAGAGGCCACCGTCACTGTGGGACAAGTGAGTTGCAGAAGAGCCCTGAACTTGCTCCCCCTGCTGTTGTTGCAGAAGCCAAGTGGTAAATACTGCTATAGAACAGGGTCTCTTTTTTTCAGCAGAAAATCCTCATTCCCTACTTATCCCCTTCCTTCTGCCCCGTTTTTTTCTGCCATAGCAGTTTCAGGAAAAATAATTAACATTTGTTGTGGATAGAGAGAAGATAGACTTGGGATGCAGGAAGTAAACCTTTGGGGAGATCTCAAAGGTTTTCCCAGGAAGTTTGCTTTCATCAGTCACCAGTTATTGCTAAGGGCTAGCAGCCTGTAAATGACAGTACAAATACAGCGAGTCACAGTTGATAAAACTCCAAAAAGTTTTCACATTCGCTTTCATCTTATTCCAGGAATGTGCCTGGGATTGTATATAGAAGCTCATTACATTTAGTTTTCAGAAACTGAGAAGCAAAATCAAATCAAGCTAGTCTGACAGGTAAATAATTGAGGAGAGGTGAAAACTCTGTCCTAATCATCAACTCTAGGAATAAAAGCAGAAACTTTCCCAGAGCTTTAGTATCTTACCTAGGCTAGAATTGCTCACATTTTAGCTGTTTAGGCTCTAGCATATCTTTACTTAGCATATAAAATTCTTTGTTTTTCTAAAGCTTATTTTCTTAGCACATTTTCATAGGGAAAGATAAACAATTGGCTTGAAAAAAATAAACACTTTGGAGGAGATATCTGACATTTGAAACCACTGTTAACTTTACAGGCTTATGTTTAGAAGTTGATGAAATGTTTCACTTCAAAGTTAATAAATGTTAAACTCACTCTGAGTAGATGCACAGAAAATGCACACAATTACTTAACTGAGAAGAGGAATTTGTCAAAATAAATACTTAATGATTTTATAATAAACAGTACTATCAGCCAAACTATTAAAATAGGTGAATATCAAGCTTTTTGGTTGTTGTATCTGTATAGTAATATTAGAGAATGCACAAGGTCAAGGATTTGCAAGCATTTTACTGCTGAGAATGTTCTTGGTAGCAGATCCTGGCCTTGTTCCAGTTTAAACACTGCTACAGAATTGCCTGGCATACATTTCTGATATACATAATGCAGTTTGAGAAGGGTTATATTAACATCAAGAGCTCAATTTTACTTGGATATGTGACTTGTTAGATCAGCTGGGAAATGCTGTAGCAATCAAAAAATAATACATCACGCTAAGAAAGCAGTCAGTAATCTCTCATACTTTCATTTTCATCGGTTTCAGGAGGAGTGAGTGAGCGGCCACGTAGTACCTAGTTGCTGGCTGGGCCTAAACCACGACGGTCCTTTTTGGCACCCAGCATGGGGCCCGAAGGGTTGAAATAATGACAGATCTGATCAGAGTGTGTTAAAACAAATCTGTTGTAAGTATTCATTGTATTGGCTTAATAGTCACTGGTCACAATGTTGACTGATTTGTGCTCAGAGTTGTTACTAGAGCTGTGTGGTGTAACACCTTATTTGCTCACTGTTGTGCTGGTTATCAGCACTGGAGTCTGGATCAAGAGTATTGTCATGGTTTCAGCCTGGTCGGCAGCCAAACACCACGCAGCCACTCTCTCCCCCTTCTCTTTTGGCAATAAGAAGGGACAGAGAGCCAGGCTTGGGGTTTGAGATAGGGCCAGGATGGGAAAATCACCCATTATGGTCATGAGCAAGAGGCAGACTCGTTACGGGAAGAAAAAAAAGAACATACATTTATTACAGACACTAACAACACCTAACAGAGTAGGACAGTGAGAAGCATTGCCACATCTTGAGAACACCTTCCCCCCACCCCTCCCTTCTTCCCGGGCTCACCTCTGCTCCCAATATCTCTACCTCCTCCCCCCAGCAGCACAGGGGGCAGGGAATGGGGGTGCAGTCAGTGCTGACTCCTCTTCCATCTTCGGTGGGGGGAGCTTCTGGAACTTGTTCCTCCTGCTCCATCATGGTCCCCCTCTCACAGGAGACAGTCCTCCACAAACTTTCTCCAACCTGAGTCCCTCCCATGGGCCGCAGCGTTCCCCACACTGCTCCATCATGGGTCACTAACTTTCTCTGACTGGAGTCCCTCCTATGGCTGCAGCCCTTCCCGAGCTGCTCCAGCGTGGAACACCCTCACATGCTTCAATCCTCCCAGTGCTGAATTACAGCAGCAGGGCTACCTTTTCCCACAAGACCCCGGCCTTCTTTGGGCACAGCACCTTGATGATCCAGGTGAAAAACACAGGCCATAAATCAGTGTCTGCTCCACCGTAGATCTTCATGGGTGGCCGGGGGGGGCCGCCCTGCCGTCTCACCACAGGATACAGGGGGGTCTCTGCTCCGGCACACCTCCCCCCTCCTTTCTTCCTCCGTTCCTCCACTGACCTTGGTGTTCATGCAGCTGCAGCAACTCCTCCTCACAAGTCCAACTGCATGTCACCACGTCCCTTCTTAAATACGTTATCGCAGAGGCGCAGCTGATTGGCTCAGTTTTGGTGCAGAGGTGGAGCTGACTTGGGGCTGGGGGAGCTTCGAGAAGCTTCTCACAGGGAGCCACCCTTATAGCCCCCTCTGCTACCAAAAAACCCCACCACTCACTCAAACCCAGGACAGGTATCATTCTGCTGTGCTGCATCACACTGATTGTGAGACCAATCTGGTATTTGAAGTCAGCATTGCCATCATCTCTGTATCTCATGTGCCATTTTCTGGTCACTTAATAATTACACTTTTTACCTTTTCTCCTTGGGGAACCAACCTATGGAAAAGGCATCTTCTCACATCTTCCCCTTCTCCGCTAGGCTAATTACAATAGCGTTTGAGAATTTTGAAAATTTTGAATATTCTTGGGATGCTCAAACCAGCATGATCCTATTGCTATGTCTGCTGAATGTGCTTCAGGTCGTTTAGTGTTAAAAAACTAAGAATACCACCCAGAGATTGACCTCAGTGACAGGCACTGCAGCTACTCAGATCCTGGCAACAGGCACTGCAGTTACTCCAACCTCTGTGACAAGCACTGCAGCTATTCAAACCCCGGTTAAAAGCATTGCAGCTACCCAAACCCCAGCTGTGGGTGATGCAGCTGAACCAGAGAATCTACCAGTGCCATTATCAGTCATCCCTATACAGAAGAATGAATGGGCACAAAAGTCAGCTAATTTAGTAAAGAACAAAGCAGGGCCACCACGAGAACATGAGGAAGAGGCAGAATATGAGGTAACCACTCCATCCCTATCCCTGAGTGAGCTGCAGGAGACGCAAAAAGATTTCAGCCAGCATCCAGGTCAGCACATTATCACCTGGCTTCTCTGCTGGGATAACGGGGCCGGTAGCCTGGAATTAGAGGGTAGGGAAGCCAAGCAGCTGGACTCACTTTCTAGGGCAGGGGGCATTGACAAGGTGATAGAAAAGGGGCAGAAATCCTCAGCCTCTGGAGGTGACTCCTGTCAAGTGTGAAGGAAAGGTATCCTGTTAAGGTGTTATATGTCACCCAGGCAAGTGGACCACCATGGAGAGAGGTATCCAGTACCTGAGGGAATTAGCCAGGCTAGAGATGATTTATTATGATCAGGACAACGCGCAGCTACCCACAGATTCAGATGAAGTCGAACACACATGACACATGTAGTGGAAATCTGTATGGATCACACCATCGTTGTATGCCAACTCATAGGCAGTACTGGCCTGGAAATACGGAGATTTCAGAAACACTGGTGGTGGATGAAGTGGCTCACCAGCTCTCCAATTCCTGCTTGTAAGGTCATGCACTGGCTTATCCAGGTGCAGGAGCCCTGCACAGGAGATAAATTGTGGTTCAGATTAGGGAAATTCTTACACTTATGAGGAGAGAATTTCAGGCATTTCTGTTTGTTTTACTTCTGCTGATTTTAGAATCAATGCAGAATTTTAAATGCCCTTATAGAGCCTGTAAAATACTTGCTGTACTGTTAAGAATACTATCGACGACGTCAAAGAAGCTACTTTCCATAATGCTGGTACGCTACAATACAGTTTGTACTGAGGCATGTTTGGCAGCTTGCCTCAACAAAAACTGAATCAGAGCCAAAGTGCCTCTTTCAATGAGCTGTATGGTTTTAGTGTAACCTTGTGAAGAATGACTTGCAAAATAATTAATAAAACCACACCTTATCATGTTTGCAGTTCTTTAATTACTCTGAATACTTCGAAAAAACAGGCTAATATGACTATTCCTGTTTACAAAATGGGAAGGAGGAATTATGAAAAGGCACAGTGACTTATTCCACACAACAGCACTGCTGGGAATGGAAACCATATCTTCACTCATGTGGAAAAGACAAAACTACCTCCATTTGGCTTTGAACAAGTGCCAAGCTGTGGGCTGGACTGGCACTGGGAAAATGGGGTAAGGCTGCTTCTTTTGGTGATGTAGATATTTTATGATCATTGTAAGTCACAAAGCAAACTACAACCCTTGTCCTGTTTATAGCAGATCATCATTTTACATGTGACAGTAAATTACCTCAGTTACAATTTGTGAACATAAGACAACACCTCAGTGTTTTACCTTTACTTGATGAAATATAATAGGTCAAAAGACCACAGAGGAAATGATGAAACTGATATCAGTCAGCCTTAGAAAGCTTTTTTCCTCTGTATAACTTTAATTATAGCAATCTTTGAAAAATTTGAACTGTAAATTGTTTTCATAAACCTTTATTTGAAAGCTAGGGAGTTTTCTGGAAAAACGTGCTTAAAGTGACACTTGTCCCTGGTTACTGGTTTGGTATTATTCTTATTAGCATAAATGTCAGGAGGGGCTAGTGATGGGGCAAAGGAAGCTGTTTCACGGGTGTTAAGCTTTAGAGGAAAAAATCAGTATGTAATGGAGAACCACCACATCCGTAAGGAACTTGCTCATTTTACTGTTTTTCAGCAATGTAACCTGAACTGATAAAATGCTGTTTTACTTCGAGGGGACTGTTAACACATCCATTCACGTTCTTTTCCACGGGCTCTCATCCTTTTTCCCCACACGTTTCAATACCGCGGTCTCGTTTCCAACAGCGCCGGCCCTCAAGCAGCTAAAAGCCCAGATAAACGCCAAACGCGTGCTCCAGCAGAGAGCACTGATACTATCCTCACCTTGCCAAGTCTAATCATTAAAAAGAAGCCGACGCTAAAAGCCAATTTCAACACCTTAACTGCAATTTACACGCCGCAGCCCCTCAGGCAGCTGCCCGCGCTGACCGTTAGCCCACCGGGCGCGGCGAGCAGACACGCCCCTTCCCCTCCCCAGCGCGCAGCGCGCAGGCGCAGCGGCGGCCGCAAACCGGCGGGGGGAGGGGGCGTGGCCAAGGGCTCCTCCCCTGCCGCCAGTGCCGTGCCGCGGCTGCGCGCGCCTCAGGGGGAGCGGAGACAGCGGCGGAGGTGACAGCGGCGGAGGGCGGCGGCGGTGAGCCTCTTCATCTTTCCTCAGCCGCCATTTCGGGGTGCCGAGGGGGTTGCGTGACCCCCTGCCACGCAGGTCTGCGCCTGGCCCGAGCTGTGGCTGGGCCACGCAGCCCCTCCGGGCGGGACGGGACGGAGGGAACGGGAGGTGCTCTCGCCTCGGCCGGGCAATGCGGGCCGCCCTTCAACCCTTCCAGCCCGGGACCCAGCCCTCTCCTTCGGGATCTAACCCTTTGCTCTGAATGTGCGCCCAGCGTTAGTGGGACGAGCTCGCCACAAAACTAAGCTGGGGGAAAAAAAAAAAAAAAAAAAAAAAAAAAAAAAAAAAAAAAGGACACTTCTCCCAGTCAGCGTAGGAGCTGACATTTAACTAGAATGCGTGTTCTGGAGTTAATGTTTTGGTGAGGTTTTAAATGTAGGTGATTTTTTTTCCCTCTGCTACATAAGTGTGCCCTTGTACTGGATGTCAGTGTACTTAAGGTTCCCCTAGTACTACCAGTCTTGCATGGATAACAGAGAAGCTTTATCTAGAGCTGTTGTACTAGTTCTGTGAGCTGACAAACTATTTCTCTGTTAATATAGCAGAACCTTTACTTCCAAGGCTATGATAAGTAAAGAACATAAGGTAACTGAAGCATCATACACTTTGCATTTTACCTAGCTTTTATAGTCATCTCTACCTGTTTAGCACCAAGGCTAAAAGAGGTAAGGACCATTAGATCAGGATGATTGGACTAGGGACTCGTGTTAACTGTTCAAGGTTTTTTATACTGTTTCAGTGATGGGGGTTTTATGATTATTTATCTAATCTTTGTGAATCTGCAGGTGTTACAAAACTGTTACCCAGGTCATCACTTAAAGACTGAATCACTTAAGTAGGAAATACCCAGAAGATTTCTGAAAGGGCTAGGGCTCAAAAATTAGACAGACTTCCAAAATTCAGAACACTGATGTGTCATTGAATTAATTTGTTGTCTACTGGTGGTGTATCAGAAATAATGTATGATAGCTGATTTGTATTTCACCTTGCTTATGAAAGTAGAGATGCATAGATAATAATGTATATTCTATTGCTTCAAAATACTTAAGAATATAGAAGACACTTTTAAGACTGCGATCTATTAACTTTCTTATGCAGAATCAAAACTATTTCATATTTGTGTTTGGAGTAAACCCTTAGAACAAAGTGTGGATGACTAAAATACAGAAAGGATAGATTCTAGATTCGAGATTCTAATCTTCTAATTTAAGGTATTCAAAGTCATTTAAAACATACTTAATTATAGACTAAGCTGTATGTCAGCAGTCTTCTGCAATAAATTACAGTGAAGATTCTAGTATTTTTAAACAAAAAGTCCCTGAGCTGTACACTGTATTTGAGAGTGTGCTTGTGCATAACCACACTATTGCTTTTCCGAGCCTTTATGTACATTTTGTGGTCAGTGTCTAAATGTGGAGTCTTGTATATGCATGTATTTTTCAAGACTGAGGCTCTGCATTTGTTAATATTTTTATGTTACACCTTTCTGATAATCAATCACAAAGCATTGGGAAAAAACCTGGTAACTGAGACTAAGCTTTTAATACTTTTTAAGTTTGTTTTTTTTTTTTTTTCTGAGCAAAGGATAGGACAAACTTCCATATTGCAGCAAGGAGAAAACCATGCAGTCCAGAATAGAGTGTAGAAAGTTAGAATTTGTTAAAAAAAAAAAAAATAACCATATTCGGTTTTGTGTTAATATCTCCTTTTGGTAGGCTTTATATCTAAGAGAAGATGGCAGATCCTTGGCAAGAATGTATGGATTATGCAGTTGCTTTAGCAAGGAAAGCCGGGGAGGTAAGTGGAAACTATTTATAAATAATAACATTATCTATTGTGTCTATTATGTATATAGCTTTTGAAGGAGTTTGGTGTTAGATATTCTTCTGAGGAGTATTTTGTCAAAAACGTAAATTAGCAGAATCGTTCAGTGATGGTCAAGTTGAAGATTGGAGTGTCTTTCATGTTTACAGCTTAGTTGATTTAAGAAAACAGCTTTGCACTTTTCTTTGGACCGGAGTCCAATTAAAGACTATGAAGTATCTTTTGTTCCTTAAATTTGATTTAAAAAAAAAACAAAACAAAACAAAAAAACCCAACAAAACTCTAAATTGTGTTAAAAAAAAGACCGTGTCTGTTTTTCCCCTTAAACTGTACTTGTCTATAGTATTTTACCACCTGAAAGCTGTTGACAGTCTTTCTTGCAAATACCTCAATCAACTTTATACAGTGTCTTCTTGTTGGCACAGGATACCATATAATTTTCTCTTCATAAAGACTGCTTTACTTCTACAAGTAAGAAGCATCCCTTGCAGTGGCAGTACTTTGCCCATTTGTGATCTAAGATGGCTTAGAACAAGAAAGAGTTTGCACATCTTGGCAGAGCCTCAGCATAAGAGTGGTTACCAAATGTTCAGTTCTTGGTAGTTCTGCTTGGTACATTTGAATGCTATTGCAGCCAGACAAGATGACACGTGTACTAATTCTGTCCCCTGGAGCTGCAGAATCTGCAGAACATTCAGCGACCTCATTAAAGTCTTCCCTCAGTACAGTAGAATAATTTTGTGAGCTGTGAGGCATGGATTCTTGCTGAACGTGATTCTCACAGTTTTAAGATCATAAATGCAGGGTCTGTCTAAATAGCTGACTTAAGATCAGTCTTAAGTGTTTCATTCAACTCTAGTATTTAAAATTATAAATCTAAAACTTGTCCTAACAAAATAGAGCTCAGTTTCATGTACCAGTGGATCTTCTTGTAGTACTTAGATCTAAGGTCATGTAAGAGTTTGTGCTGAGTGGGGACTAAAGATAGATGCAAGGGTAAGCCCCAGCTCCTGCAGTTAAATTCAGGTTTTGTCACTACTTGTGTTTGTGTTTTATATGTGAAGTAAAGAAAATTACAGTAAAAATGATGCTCAGATTTTGGGGAAAACCAGTATTTTCCATACTGTTAATAGAGAAAGATTTTTTTTTTTTTTTTCCTAACAGATAATCTGTGGAGCATTCAGAGAAGAAATATCTGTTATGACTAAAAGTTCACCAGTAGATCTAGTGACAGAAACTGATCAAAAAGTAGAAAACTTCATTATTTCTTTGCTAAGAGAAAGGTATCCTTCTCACAGGTATGGCTTCTTATCAATACACTTCTGATAGAAGGGGAGAGGTGACTGGAAGAAGAAAATGGGAAGTTTTTCGTAGTAAAATTTCATTACGAGTGGTATGCTGGAAAGTTACAGAATTCTTCCTTACCTTCCATACATTAAGCATTTTGGAGTAGTAGTGGGTTGAAGTTTTGCCCAGGGCTGTAGTAACAAAACAAGGTGGCCCCAGGGTCTACTGACCTGAGTTTAGCCTTATTCAAGACTTGTGCTGAAAGTCACTTCCAGTTGAGCCAGCTGCAAATAACTTCTTGGTTATTTGTGTTGGAGAATCAAAGGTGGCCCTAAGATATTCAGAACCCAAATTTCTTGTCTGCTGTTGAAACTAGCGTTCCTTCGCTGTCTGTGCTGGATGGGCCCCGTGGTACTGAGCGTGCCTCTGGCAAATCTCATACAGGTTCAGAACATCAAGCACCCTTGAAAGAAGACAGGATTTTCTGATACTGCATAACTGAAAGTCTGTCATACCAAATATTGATGGAGTTTTTTTATTGCTCTTCCTATTTTCTTCCTCCTCCTGCCCCCAGCCCACAAAATAAATTTATTCTTGAAGGGTGAATTGTATGTATTTTACTTGCTTTTACGTTTATGGGACTTTCTTTCCCATTATGACATAAAGGCTCAAGTTTAATACAGTTTAATTCAAGTGGGTTTGCTAATTTTTATTGCTTTTTCTTGGAGATTTTCTTATTGTAGCTGTATATGTGAAATGTAATAAATATGCATAGAATTGGAACAACTGAGGTGATGCAAAATGTCAGTAACCTAACCAAATTAGCGTAAGCATAGACTCATGGAATGACTTTGAATTAACAGTTTTTGTGACACTGATAAACGTTTTAGAATATTTTGGCTTCTTTTTATATTAGATAATTGATATCCGTTAGACATACTGGTGTTGAATTTCTCTTTATGAAGAATTACTCATTCACATAAATAACTATTCAGTCTTTCTCTTTGTGAAGATCCACTGCTTTTTGGAAACATGCTGTTTCTTTCTGAGAACTAGTTGATCATAAAACTCCTAATCAATATTAAAGGGACCTTATTTGTTTACTCTGAGCGGTTCTCATTTTACATGTCTGTGGAGAAAAGCATTTATTTGTTTGCGTGCTTTTCATAGGTTGAGTAATACATGATAAATTTAACAACGTGCAAAAGACATAGGAGAGAATTCTACCTACTTAGCTTCATCCCAATAATTTTTGCAGTTCAAAACAAATACTTTCATGAGCAGCAAAAATTGTGAAATTTGGGTTCCTGTGGCACTGTGCCTTGTGTATCCTTTGGGTTTAGTATTATGGTTGAGCATGCAGTCTGCTGTCTTCAGGAGAAGCTCTGGTTTGGATTCCATCCCTTGAACATGTTGCCATTTTGTAATGCTTGTAAAACTAAACAGTTTTGAGACTACCAACTTTCTGTCGTATTTGGGTTGAAATTGGACTACAAATTTAACAGTTACTGCAGTGGTCTGCTCAGATGCATATGACCACAAAGGCTTTCTTCAGTTAAAACACAAGCTAAAAAGTAGTGTTTTGTAGCACAAATATTCTGAAAGGTGTGAATAGCTATAAGTATTCTGACCAAAATTTGATGACGCTGTCACTGGAAAAAATGATGAAAACTGCAGTGTTCCGAGTGCTAAATTTCAGTAATGGATATTAAAATGTAAAGTTCTTTTCTCTACATATTGTGCTTATCTCTGATATCATAAATATTGATGCAAGCTTGGTCAGATCTGGTTGGTGCTTTCCACATAAATTGTGTATTGTTTAGCTTTTTACATATGATCACTGGGGGTGTAAAAACCTGCACCTCACTTTAAGAAATTTCACTTCAAGGAGCATGTTGTAATTTAGATATTTAAAACTCTTTCTTTCTTTTAATTGTGTTTGCTACTCTAGCTTCATCGGAGAAGAATCTGTTGCAGCTGGAGAGGGCAGTATTTTGACGGATAACCCCACATGGATTATAGACCCTATTGATGGAACTACCAACTTTGTACACAGGTCCACTTTTCATTTTTTTTATGTTAGCAACTTCGACTGATTACTTTTTTCTTTCTTCGGTTCCGTGAAAGTCGTGTTTTTTTCACTTTTAAATTGCCTTAAAAGAGATACTATGAACTTGTTAACAGTTACAAATTACTATTTGCATTTATGGAGAGTCATTGGGCAGTTTTTGTAATGATTTTAATATTTCTGTAAGTATTATAATAGTCTCACTCTGTAACCAACAGCAGGTGTTCCATGAGAGTCCCATACTGTGTAGCAGGGGTCAGCAGCCTTTGCCACGAGTGCCAAAGATAGGTAGGAAGATTTTAACAGTAAAGTAACAGGACTCAGAATTAGGAGTTGCAGCATCTTCAGGGAGGTGATAACAGCTCCAAGTGCCAATTTCTAAGAAATTTCGAAGTTACTGAGATCTAGGAGCTGCTACCATGAAAGAAAGCAGAATATCACGGGTAATTAGTGGTATTTTGCACCACCATGAGGAGCTGGCTTTCAGTGTAATGCTCACTGCCTATTCCCTCTGTCTTTGAAACATGGTGGATTTTGGTCCTCATGAGCTTTTCTGAGCGTACTTGATTCCAGTTTTGAAATGACTGCCACTGTGTGCACCACAGCTTTAAACAGCTGTTGAATCCTGATAAATAGCATATTCAAAAAGCCATTAAGAACCCCTTCTGCTGGATTTACGGACTTAAAAGTCTGTATTTTTTGCAGGTAGTAATTAAAGCAAATGTTTTGGGACTGCAAATTTTAAAGAGTAAAATATAATAATAAAAAAAAATAATTGGTTGATTGTTAAAAACTTGGCCTGAGATGCAGCCCACCATGTCCTATATTTTCACACTGCATTTTTCCCCTCATTTTAATATCTGTCCTCCTCGTTTCTTTGGTGGAGAAAGTGGAGGTGGGGGGGAGGTGACTTGCTTCTTTTGATGAGACCATTTTGGCCAGCTTGTTCCTTCTGAGAAAGGTTAGTAGCACAGGGGCTTGCTTGTATTCTTTGGCTATAAAATGAGAATCCCTAAGGTAGTAACAGCTGTAACAGGGATGGCAGTCCCTAAACTGTAACAGACTTCGTTTCAGTGGGTGGAAAAGCTTGTATTTTAAATGGTGATCAGTGTTGTGAAGTCCATTTTCATAGTAAATTGTGCAAGTTCCAGAAAACTAATATTTCCTATATAGTCCAAGTTTCTTTTTGAAATATACATTACATTTAACTGAACATTGTTTTTATTAACAGTAAGCGTGGTAATAAAGAAGCATAGTATCTCACTATAAATTAGTGAAATGTTTTGTTTTGTAGGTTTCCATTTGTGGCAGTTTCAATTGGCTTTGTTGTAAACAAAAAGGTATACTTTTTATTACTTAATATCTAATCAATCAAAACCAAATTAATTCCTTGTTTCTAGTTATAACTAAGATCTATATTTTCACAGTAAATAGGAGGAAAGGGGAAAAAAAAAACCCTCAAGGTGTTTTTACTTTTTCTTGCAGATAGAGTTTGGAATTGTGTACAGTTGTAAAGAAGACAAAATGTACACTGCCAGGAAAGGAAAAGGTGCATTTTGCAATGGTCAAAAACTTAAAGTATCAGGCCAAGAAGGTAAGCTGAACTGAGCAGCTTATTTCTAGGAAGTACATTTATTTTGCAAATGAGGCATCAACAGTTCTAGACCTGGATATGTTCCTGTTTCTTAGTGCATAGTTTTGTTTTGCAAAGACAGGCTTTTTTTGGATGTGGGTTTTTCAGTTTTGAGAAACAACTTTTACGTTCTCTTTCATGCATATAGCATGCTTGTGATCTTTGCAAAATCAGGACTCAACGACTGAAGATTTTTTTCCCTGGGTGTCTGTGTGTTATGGGGTTTTGTTTGTTTGTTTTTAATTCCCTGTATGTCTGTAATCCATCTGTGGTTGTTCTTTAGAGTCTGTAACAAATCTACCAAACATTTCAGCTTCTTCCAGGTGTGAACTAGTGGTTTAAATAGGTATCAATGAAATAAACTCTGCTAATTACTGTTGGGAAAGTGAGCTTTTGTTTCTTTTCCAGACATTACAAAATCCCTTTTAATAACAGAGTTGGGATCAAATCGTGATCCAGAGACTATAAAAATAATTCTTTCTAACATGGAAAGACTTCTCAGTATTCCTATTCATGGGTAAGATAATTCATATTTTTCATATTTACTGGTAGTGTTAATAAGATAAATCTGATCATTTTTAGGAAGGATTGCTTGCATTACATTTGACACCTTAAATGTGAACTATGATTTAAATGTTTTTGTCTAGTAGCTTCTGTAGAGAAGAGCTTAAGTGTGTTTAACTTTTTCAAGCTACAGCATATATGCGAGAACCCTAACAATCAGTGTTAAGTGAAGCATGTTTGGTTTAGTAGGAATAAAAAGTATTGTATTTTCTAGTTTGAAAAATGAGATACAGTTTTGGGTCTTCCCTCTCCATCCCACTCCCCCACCATGCCCCCCCGAAACACACAAGGAGTCAAACTGGGTAAACAGACGCTCTATTACATTCCTTAGTTTCCCTTCCTACAGTAGTGAAAATCATTTGTTTTTTTATATATATATCAGAAGACAAAATTAGATCTTCCTTTCCTCTTTCAACACTGCACAATTTTTTAAAACTTGTCCAAGTAGTTGAAATTGTCCACAATCTGCTCTTATTTTGGTTACGTTCCCTGCTTCCTGTCCTCCAGATAAGCCAGAGCCTACATTTCCACAGACCATTTTACATCTAAAAGTGGTTTCAGTAGGCAGTTTTTTTCTACTCAAACCTATTGATGTTTCTGATCTAAAAAAGGTTGTAGTTTTATGCTGAGATTCTCAGGATTTTTGTTTTGACTCTTAACATAACTTTGTTTTGTGCTTTCAAAAAGTTTTCTGGTGTCATTAAAGAATATATGCTAAATTGTAAGTAAGGAATACATTTTAGGTATGCTGTCAGTTCAATTTTGGTATTTTATTTGTAAATAATATATAAGATTGGAGTTGATTTATGTTTCTTCTTGCACTAACTTAGCTGCTATCAGTTACATTTTAACAAACATTTTATTAATAGTTGAGATAACTGCAATTATTTGTACAAGTCACACTTACTAAGTGCATCAATATTTCCAAAATAAACTGGAATTTGTAACACAAGGCTTTGATGAAGTTATCCAGACCAAATTTATTCTGTGTAGTTTATTTTTTTGTGATTACTGCCGTTAGGGTTTTTTGCAAGTCAGATGCTTACTGAGCATCACCAGAGAAACTGAAGTAACTGTTTTTTCAACACTGACCACCTGGATTCTTGTATTCAAAAAGCCAAGTAGAATGTCTGTTATTGTTTAAGGTATGTTTTATGGTAGACATTTTCCATAATATATTTAAGGTTAAGAAGTTGTTTAAGATGTTTGCACTCTAAACCAAAATTGTATAACAATTCATAAATGTAATTTCTGGAAATTTGCTATATTTGGAGAGCTCTTCAAGCTACTTAAGCAAAACTTAATTCCCAATTTTTTATTTTTTTCACTGCAGCATTCCATCACATTTTGTCTCTCTCAGTTCACTTAGCGTGTGATGCTTCTGTGTTCTCTGTGCAGTGTACGCAGACATTGTGACTTTCTTACAAACTGTTCTCAATGGAAAAAACAACTATGTCTCCTTTAGGATTAGAGCCATTGGTACAGCAGCTGTGAACATGTGCCTTGTGGCAGCGGGTGGAGCTGATGCTTATTATGAAATGGGGATTCACTGCTGGGATATGGCAGGGGCTGGAATCATTATTACTGAAGCAGGTGGAGTACTGCTAGATGTATCAGGTAAATACATGGGCATGCATGATGCTTTCTTGTCCTTTTAAATAGCTAATTGGGAATAAAACGTGGCTGAAATTAGAAGGCAAAGAGGTTTTTCAATCCTTTTTCTGAGCTACTGCTACTGAACAGAGTTCCAATCCAGTTAATAGACAGAGAGAGTCAATTGTATGGTCAGCTACAAGATAACCTTTACTCCCTGGGCTGAACACCTGGAAAAGTGGAAGAAGACAGTAAATATACACTGAAGAGAATTTCAGTGTAGCTCACATGAGATCTGTTGTGTTAAATGCATGTTTATGCAGGGGCAAATCTTGGTCCTAAATGGTAACGTATCATTTACGCTTGATTTTTTTCAATGCTCGTTTTCTTACCAACTTTTAATTTTCTTCAGCTATAAGCTAGTGACTTTGCTTGCTTTGATTTCTAGGTGGACCGTTTGATTTGATGTCTCGAAGAATAATTGCAGCAAGTAGTCGAGCTATAGGAGAGAGAATAGCTAAAGCGCTTCAAATAATTCCTCTGAAAAGGGATGATGCAGCTAACTGAATACCAAAACTACACCTTAAATGTAATGATATAATGTCTCCTACTCCCATGTGGTGCTTGTTCTACACCTTAAACCTGATAAAAAGATAGATAAGTAGATGGTAGTCTTTCAGTACTGGTGTGACTAAGTAGAGTTTTGAGATTGGACCAACATTCTAAGTAAGCTTTTACTGTTAAGTATTTTATTTAACATCGTGATTAATATAAAGATTTCTAAAAAGAACCAAATATAACAACTGATATTATAAAGTTTTGTACTACACTGGAAGGCATAGCAAAGACTTTTTGATGTGTAGATAAATAAAAATCTCTAGTTCCATAAGTGACTTACCAAAATTCCCTATCTGAGCACCACATCATCACATCTGATACTGACCCCAAAAAGATGAAGGCATTAATGTTTTCCAGTCTATCTCATCCGTTGTTTTCTTCAGTGTCATCAGTGCATACATTTCCTTACCTTGTTCCAGTTTTCTAGAAGTAGTTCACACATTTCCAAATTTTTTTTTTTAGTCGCTCGTAGTTTTGGCTCTAAAGTCTTTATTACTTAGCTGTCACTGTTTTTGTAGTCATCGTTGTACCTTATTTATGGTAGATAAACACAATCTCTTCTTTAGCCTCCTATGTGGCCAGTACACTTGCAGATTCATTACAGTTGCAGAAATAATACTTACTGTGCCAGAAAATATGTGCATCTCCCAGAAATAAGTTCTGAGCACACCTTCTATCACCAAATGGAATTAATCTAAGTTAAGATGAAGTAGAATTTGCATCTGACCATTCAAATCAGCTGATGCCAGGTCCTCTATCTTATTCTTGGCAGTTACAAGTCCTGTTAATTTTGTTTGGGCTTCTCTGTGGATGAGTGTGTTTCAAAGTCTGAGGAATCATTAAAATCCAAGAGAGTTTTCAGTAACTCAGCAGGTGAAAAAATAAGCCCATAGTCCAGACTTCTTACATCATTTTCTGTAAGTTACAAAAGCGTTGGCCAACCAGGATTGGGTTTCCATTGTGTTATAGAGTGTACAGGCACAAAAGAAGATATCTAAACCTGAAGGGTTTATGAATCTAAGAAATATTAATTTAATTCATGGTGTCAGTTTGTTCTAAACTTTGAACATTGTACTGATTCTTTGAAGTTTTGTATTTAAGATTGTTAGAAATACCTCTGTACTGTTCAAATAATTAATGCACTTTAAAAAAAAAAGATTTAACTTAGAAAAATCAGTCTAAACAGTAATCTGTGTCTAAAGTTTCCTAGAGAAAGTTGTCTCATTGGTGGACTAGTCAAGACACAGCAATGCTTTGGAAATCCTGACTTTTTGTACTGTTGTCCCATTATTTTTATTTTGGAAAATAGTGTTCTCTGTCTTGAGGTTTCAACAGAACTCTTACCATAAATTTCAGTCTTTTATATCAGCTGATTTTTGCAGAAATATTTAATTTGAAGGTTTGTCTAGTGCCAGATGATTAACAGTAATGAGATCAGCCTGATAATTAAAGGTCTTGTAAAAAAGCCTGACTTAGATTAATTTTACTTTTAAAATTCCCATTGACAAGAACAGAATTTGAGCATTTCACTGTAACTTTATTGTTGTAAATTATGTGGGATCATCATTATTTCTTGAGCAGAATGTCTACTGTACCATTTCTGTGACTTTTGTATAACAAATTCTGCATGACTTTTTTTTAAACAGATTTATTTGTGAGAGAGACGTGTCTAAAAAATACCTGTGATGGGAGAACACATTTGAAATAAATACCCTTTACCAGTAGCAGCTTCACATGTGCTTCTTTTCTTAACATTCATCAGAGTACAATGCTGAGTCTCAACAAGCTGGATTTGTGGGCTTCAAACTTTCTCCGAGTTGAACACTTTCTCTTCTCGGCCTGTGATGTACACAGATCGTAAACTGTTGTGCCTTTAGATAAATGGGGTTATATATACAACTGCAGTAGGTTTTTAGAGTGAATATTCTAACACCTTCCAATAAGATCATGGTGCATTAATCATCTCCAACCTCACAGCTCAAACTTCACGGTTTACCTTGCCTATTATTTGTTTGGGAGGCCCATGAGCTGCCTGAAGCATGTGCCTTTCTCGCTGTTAGCTTTCCTAATAGTGTTCTTCAAGGAAAAAAATTATGAATTTCCCATCTTGGCACTGGAGGCCAGCCTGATTATTTTTTTGACTCTATAAATGGCAGCTTTTAGCAACTGTCTTCTTTCTCTTCAATCTCAGTCTCCCTTTCCAGGTGCTCAGAAATTGCTGTTGTTTGCTGCTTTGCCTAAGCATTATCTTCTCAGACAGCTCTTCATCTACTATGTGGCCACTTCTTTCATCATATGAAAGGACACTGAAATGTAATTATTAAATTTAAAGGCATTTTCTTACTAGTTCTGTGCTAGCTTGCAATTTTGGCAAATTTTTATGGAAAACCAGAGAAGTCATGATTGCTGTGTAATCAAAATGCTTTTGAGGGATTCTATATGAGGTAGTCCCAGAGTGTTAAAAACAATAAGATACCCATTTTTATTGCTTTGAAAGATGGAATGACAGAGATAAACATCTTAGATTTTTTTTTTTTTTTAATTAAGTTCTATATGTACAAGGTAGCTTTTGCTGGGCAATGAGACAATCAGAAAACCAGTTACCACGGATTGAACAGATGGACTGTCCAATTAAGATCATGAGGAATATTCATAAAGACATCAAAAGTCCAGTATACAGGAAGCTTTCTTAAAAGCTTTTCAGTGAACAATTCCTGACTTCAGCTGGCAAATTCTATTGTGGTTTGAATGTCAACTCTGAATGAAGAACACTCAGAAGTGCAATACGTAGAAGATCAGGTGGACAGATAAAGCAACTGGAGCAAGTGAAAAATTCCAATAAATACTACTGGAAATTTAAGGACCATAGGAGCAAATCTAACCAGTCCTTTTACCTTTACTTTGAGAATTTGATGGAATGGTCAATAACATCACTAGCCCTAGTGAACTAACATGTTCACTAGCCCTCTCCATTTATTGATTTGCTGATAGTTTGTGATTGTTTTCTATGACAACCTGCTTTGAAGAAGGAGGAAAATTTTGCAGGGCCTTCCAGTAGATTCAAGATTACCCAGCATGATATATGGCCAAAGACAAAGTCATAAAAGGCTTCAAGCACTTTTCCAGCCCTGTTAAGCAGTCCTGTGGAAAATCCCTCCCTTGCCCCTCTCCCTTCCCCTCAGTGAAATATGGACTATTCCTCATAGTATCTATGACCCAAAGCTATGGCTTTAATTCTGCATAAACTAATGCCTAGGTGTGAACTAGACATTCTGCCTAGATCTAAACCATCAACCTGTAACCTCATTATGAAGCAATTTAAATAAGGGAGATCTCTCTTCCTGAGCTTCCTGCTGTCCTCTCAAAGCCAGATGCTAATTCAGCTCTTTTCATTACCTGTGAGTGGAGTAATCGCTTCACAAGTCTGATCCTGCTCCTAAAGTGCTGACAGGCAACTTTCCAACAGCACACTGGTTTTGGATCTACAGCAGTTGGCATGGCTTCCTTGTTTGCACAAACTCCAGGCATCAGAAGGATATTGTCAGTGATGTGGCACCTCAGGAGTCTCTGCCAGAGCCAGTCAGCCAGATGTCCCAGACAACATAATCCATTTGATCTCCGGATTACTGCTTGTCCTGCACCAAAAGTGACAGTGGATGTAGTCTGTCAGATCATTCTTCGGTTTGTAAAAGCTTCACACAAAGATCTGCAGCTTCTCAAAGATCAGCAGGAGCTTTTGAAATGTCCTCGGTGCCCACTATCCACTGTCTGCCTGCTACAACAACAGGGCAAACAAAATCTGACACACTTCAAAGCTGTGTGCGACATCCGGAACAAACAAACTCGAGGACTGTGCTCAGCTGAGGGCACGTTATGCCACTGTGTTCAAGAGCTACAATCTCTTGCCTGTTTGAGGAGGATGGATTAGGTCTCCCACTGTAGAGCAGAAACAATTTCCTAGCACAATTCAAGCAAGTAAGATGCTAAAAATAACAGTGCATATACATCCTGTTCCAGAAGCTTATAGCCTGTGTTGATGCCTGCTACGTGAGCTTGAGCTTATACGTTGTGTGTCGTACTTACTCTTGGTTTGCACAGTTGCACTGATGATTTTTACACTGAGGTGATTCTCCCTACACCAGTGTTGCTTTAGTTAGGAATCAGGCCTTCTGTGCACTCTTTTAAGTGAAAGGAAAAGAAGCCTGAAATACAACAACTACTGTTCCACAGCAGAAGGGAAGAACAGAAGCCTGCTGCCTTTTTACACACTGGAAGATCAAGGTGTATGTTTTGTTATGTCTGTGCTTAGCTCAGTAGAGACCATCCTTACAACCGTGTAAAGCAGCTAATTCAGAGGAAGTGATGCTACCTCAAGTACTTGAGAATTAATTTCATAGGAGCCCTTCCTCAATTTGCTGTGTTAAATCTTCCTCTTCTGCTTTCCCTTGGAGAGCTGGTTCTGTAGGATTTCTCCTGCCTGTGTATGCAGCCCGAGTTCAGTCTCGGAGGCTGAGGCAGCCTCCAAGGAAGCCATGCTCCTCACTGCCTGACAAGACACTAGATGGCAGCCGGAGCCAGGAAAACACCAGAAGGCGCAGGGTTCCTTTTTTTATAGATCAGATTCCCTTTTCTGCTCCTCCATCTCATCCTCATCTTGCTCTTTGTAATTGTTGCTGGATACAACTCGGAGCATATCTGAGAATTATTCAAAAGACTTATACCACAGATTTTTGAGGATACCAAGCTCTGTGTTTCTGTGACTTGACAAGAAATTTGAAACAGGACTTGTGTCAGCAGCAGCATTAACTTTCCCTCCCTTTCAATGTAAGTATATTGAAGATTGTGGTATCTATCACAAGAAGATGAATCTGAATTCTAAAATAAGATAAAAGACATACACATGATCAGAATATACTGCATTCAAGGCTGTAGTCATCTCCCCTAGATTTTTGCTGTCTTAAATTGGAACATGGCTCTCAGAAGCCTTTTTTTAAACATATCAGATAATCTTCTGGGCAAGCATGCATCAATCTGTGTGCAGAGCCAACAGCCCTGGGACCACAAACCTAGCCTCGAATGAGCAGCTCTTTATGATCTTTGAGATAGAACTGTTTTATTTTCCAAAGTGAACACAAGCCCAGTATTTTACCTCCAAATGTGTAGTGATGATGTAAAGGAACTTCACCAGCTGTGTCTGCATTGTCCCTATAGTGTATTGAGACTATATTGTTCAGAACCTGTTCAAGCACGGATACGTAACTCATCCACTTATTTCATTATTTCACAGGTCTATGTGCTGCATCCTGTGAAAAGTTTCTCTGTATTTGTGACCTTGCCCAGGAAGGTAGTGGCCTAGAGATTAAGTGGCAATGCATTACGGACTAGATGTTCGCTATTTACGTCACAGTGGCTGGTTAAGAATTGCCTCAACAGTGTTCTCAGGAAAAGACTTTCCTGCCCTCCCTGTAATGCATCTGGAGATGCCCTGCTAGAGCACGCCATCCCGAACATGCCCAGCATTAGCATGCTGCCAAGCATAATCTGCACAGGCTATTGAGCAGGCCTGGAGGTACTCTGCCTCCTAATAGCGAGTAGCAGAAGAAGGGATATGTTCTGGAGTGTCTGCAATGCACTTTCAGTACAGGTTGGGGTGACTTAGGACGAACAAGTTTCTCTAGTGTGGAACAGCATGCTATAACTCTCTTCTAGTATGACTTCTCTACAGTGTTGCAAGACAACTACACGCTCCTTCCTCCAGCTATCTTCAGTTGCAAATTTTCCTTTAGACAAGAAAAAAGCTCCAAATGCTGTTTCTGGCAGTGAGGATCTTGGCTGAGGACAAATATCTGCAGAAAGAGAGTCTCAGCTGAGGAGATGTGCTAACTGGGGAATGCATGGGCTGGGTGATCTTGGGGAAGGTAGGTAGAGGGGCTGGCCAAAAAAGGCCAACAGCAGCAGGTAGCTGCAAAAGGGACAAGGAGTCCTAGTTTGGGACCAGCTTATATTAGTACCTACAGCGAATTTTTCTAATTTTAGAAAGGTCATTCTTTTCCAGCTCTCATACTAAACAGTCAGGGTGACTTTTATATAGCCATATAGAAAGCTTCTGTAGCGATTTTCAATTTTGTATAGATTTTCCAGAATAAAAAAAGTTAAGTCAGGCCTAGGAGTTCATCAGGATGGCTTTATCTATTATTAATAGCAGAAACCTCCATGTTACTGGATGTTTGCACTGGCCTCTTCTAGGCAAACAGCTAAAAAATACTTATTGTTTTCACCTCACTACTGAAAGCTAAAAATAATAAAAACTCCCTTTATTTCTGCTTCATTATACTTGAAATTGTGGTTACAGTTCTGAACAGTCTTCCAGCAAAACACATTTAAAAGAGAGTAATGGTTAATGTTATTAGAAATTCTTGTTTCAATATTTATTCAGGTGTAATTAGCAATGTATTAGCTGTGTAAAAGTAAATTGTATCCCACTTCATCTGTGCACCTTGTTTGGTTCACCATGTTGAAATGGAATTCATAATAATAAACTGTCATAGCAGGGGGAGGCTAAAAGCTTTACTTCTATAGGCACTTAGATCTTAATGGCAGTTTCCACTGAAAGGAAGTGCAAACCCACACATAATGATTCCCATCAGCACTCAGCTGTTCTGACGCTGCAAAACACTGATATTCAGTCAACTGAATCAATTAAGAGAGAAAATATGTTTTCCAG